AAAAGAAAAAATAAGAGCAGGGTAAGAGAGCTGGGGGACAAGGTGAGGGAACTGCAGTTTTTCATTAAGGATTATTAGAACATTAAGAAGATGATACTTGAACAGGAAGTTTCAGGAGTTGAAGGAGTTAGCCATGCAGATTTTTAGGGAAGCCAATCTTAGGGAGGGGAGTGGTCAGAATAGAGGACTCAAGGAGGGCCTGTGGCAGGAGCACTGAGGCGGCAGCAGCCCGGCTGGGGCAGATGGGAGGGCTGGGAGGAGTGGGAGAGATAATGTTAGAGAGGTTAAAGGGCCCACCTTTAAAGGGTTGTGCCTTATAGGGACTTGGATTTTTACTCTAAGTGAAATGGGGAGCCATTAGAGGGTCTTTGAATGAAAAGGCTCGCTCTGGTTGCTGTGTCAGGGACAGAGTATGGGTGGGACCAGATGCACCAGTGAGGAGGTCCTGCAGTAATCTAGGTGAGAGATCTCAGAGTACAGTGATGGCAGTGGAGATGGTGAGATGTGGCTATAGTTTGAGGGCAAAGTGTGAATTAACTTGCAGTGTGGGACAAAGCAGTAGTTGAGAATGACTTTGAGAGGCGCAGTTTGAGCCTGTGTTGTCCCATATGGCAACCACTAACCACAGGTGACTTCTGAGCACATGAAATGTAGTCAGTCTGTACTGAGATGTGCTGTGTGTGAAAAATACTTACGGGATTCTGAAGACTTAGTGTAAAAAAAAACTGGTTGAGTATACTAGGTACAGATATAAATGATCTTGGTAACTTGCAAAAATGTTGACGTTTTAGATATATTAGGTTAAATAAAATTTCCTATTAAAATTAATTACACTTGTTTATTTTAATGTTTTAATGTCAGTACTAGTGAGTTTGCATGTTGGAGAGCGCTGTTTTGAACAACTGAGAGTACCCAGAGTTGCCATGGTCTGAAACGAGGAAGACGGTGCATAAAGTAAATGGGAGGTGGGGGTTAGAGCAGGAGTTCTTCTGAACAGGTTGATTTTGAGGTGTGTATTATACATTCATACAGAGCTGATCAGTGACCACTGGCCATCCCAGTTGAGAGTCTGGAGGACAGGTCTAAGCTGGAGCATCTGGGTGGGTGTACCTAACTAGGAGTGAGTATGGGCTGAAACAAGAACCAAGATTAGAGCTCTGGTAACTTCTCATATGGAGAGATTAGGGAGAAGAGGAAGAATCAGTAAAAGAGAGAGAGAAAAAGAAGAGACTAATGCAGGAAAAAGAAAACCAGGAGAATGTGACATCATAAGAGCTAAAGGAAGGAAGTGCAGAAGGAGGAAGGAGAGGCCAGATGTGCTGCATGCTGTCCTGAGGGCTGCTGCTGAGGCAGAGAGGGTGACAGCTGGCTTCTGGAACTGGCAGTGTGGAAGTCACTGGGGCCCTTGAGAGGGGCAATCTTGGAATGGTGAGAGTGAAAGCCTGATCAGAGAGAGTTTCCAAGAGAATGGAGGGAGTGGAGTTAGACATGCGTAGAGAACATTGTTGAGTTTTTCTGCAAAGAGTTGGAATGATTGCTGATAGAGGATGTGGAGCCAAGTAGATTTGTTTATAAGTGAATGAGGATGATCTGGTGGAGGGGGACAATTAGCGATGCAGGGAGAGAAAGAAAGCGTGGAGTGATGTCTTTGTAGGGGAGAGGAGGAGGAGTAAGAGCAGAAGAGGGTCTGGCTTTAGATAGAGGTGTTTATCACCATCGCAGGAGGAAGGCAGAGTATGTGTGTGAAACTGGGTAGATGTGGCACTGGGAATCCGTGGGGGTTCTTGTCTAATTGCTTCAACTTCTCAGCGAACTCAGAAACAACTCAGGGAGAGGTGTGGTTCTCAACCTTAGCTGTTCCAGAGCCTCGGGAACTTTTAAAACTACAGGTGCCTGGGCCCCACTCCCAGAGATTCAAATTTAAGTGTCTGTTATAGAGCCCATGTACTGCTGTTTTTAAAAGTTTGAGTGTTGTTGTGCTATCGAGGTTGAGAACCACTGAAATAACAGAGGAATCCATTCAGGATGGTGAACGGAATCCTCTCTAAGAAGATGACATAGCAAAGACCTGAATGGTGAGAAAAAGCAGCCCAGGGAAGCAAGGAAGGAAGTGTGCTGTAGGCAGAGGGAACAGAATGGGCAGACTGAAGGAGGAAGAAAAGTGTGGCCGGGTTGCAGTAAGCAAGGGTGAGGATGATACAACAGGAGGTCAGGGAGTAGCTGTGGGTCTCACTGTGAAATCTTTGCAGCCCATGGTAAGGAATGTGGGGTTAGCCTAATTGCAAATGGGACCTTATTGAAGGGTTGCATGCAGGGGAGTTAAATGATCTTATTTGCATTTTTAAAAGAGCATCAGTGGCTAGGGAACAGTGGGTGGTGGAAGGGAGACAAAAATGAAAGCAGGTGACCAGTTAGGCAATTTGTATCCCCCATGAGAGGGGATACAAAGACAAGAACCAAGGCAGCTTGGTCTTGTTGGCAGCTTGGTCCGAGGAGAGAAGTTCAAGAATTTCTCAGAGAAAGAAAGAATAAGACAGGTTCATTTGCTATGAGCAGCCATGGCAGGAAGCCATCTACTGAGTCAATCTCTGGTTTTTCCACCCAAGTAATGCCAAGATCAGAAAAGAGGAACTAAAATTTTCCCATTAAAATTCAAGTTCAAGCAAACAAACTCCACGTATGCTCTGGGAAGAAGCTCCATGCTCATTTTTGTGGCTCCTAACCTTTCTGTTTCCTGTTTGAAAAGCAGATCTTGCACCTGCCAGGCAGTCTTCTGGGTGCTATAGGTGAGAGAGAAATTAGAAAGCTGGTGTCCAGGGTCCTGGGTCTAATCTGTATCTCTCCCTGTCCTGGCCCCCACAAGGCTCAGCAGGCAGGAGCTGGAGGCACGAGAAGATGCCGGCTATGCCAGCCTCGAGCTACCTGGGGACTCCATCCTCTCATTACCCACTGTGGACACAGAGGAGAGCAGTGATGACCTCATTTCACCCTATGCCAGCTTCTCCTCCACAGCAGACCGCCCCATGCCCCTGCTCAGTGGCTGGCTAGACAAACTCTCGCCCCAGGGGTGAGGCTGCTGGGAGTGGAAGGGAGAAGAGGGAGGCTGAGAGATGGGGAGCAGCAGGTCCCCAGTGCTTCAGGCCTTGTGATCTCCTCACCCCATGGAACCCCAGACACTAACTGATCTTGACTCTTTCCTTCTTCAGAAACTATGTCTTCCAGAGACGCTTTGTGCAGTTCAACGGAAGGAGTCTGATGTACTTTGGCAATGACAAGGTGGGGGACTGGAGATGCTATGGGGAGACTAGGAAGCGGGAGAGGGAGGGCTGAGAAAGGCTCAGGATGGGAAGTACGGAAGCCCACGGTGGAGGGATGGCCATCACCTGCCCGCTGTCAGTATTCAAGGTAGCTGGCTTAGCACTGCTCGTGGATTGAGTACAGATGTCATGAAAGCTGGTGGTGGACCAAGGATTCAGTGCACATGGCTCAGTTCCTCTCCCCAGCGATCATATGCTTGTCTTTCTCCAGGACCCGTTCCCCAAGGGTGTGATCCCCCTAACTGCCATTGAGATGACCCGCAGCAGCAAGGACAATAAGTTCCAGGTCATCACGGTCCAGAGGGTGTTTGTGTTCCGCACAGAGAGCGAGGGTGAGTCAGGGCAGGTGGAGCTCACTGAGTCAGGGTAGGTGGGCAGAATACTGCGTGAGCACACAGCTCACTGATATGCTTCCTGCTCCCCACCAGCTCAGCGGGACATGTGGTGCTCTACGCTGCAATCCTGCCTGAAGGAACAGCGCCTCCTGGGCCACCCCAGGCCACCCCATCCACCCCGACCCCTCCGTACTGGCATGCTGGAGCTACGTGGACACAAGGCCAAGGTGTTTGCTGCCTTGAGCCCCGGAGAACTAGCCCTGTATAAGAGTGAGCAGGTGAGGAGGGCGGGGGAGGGCTGAGGAGCCTGGCCTGGCCCATTCTGGCACCTCATAGCGCATACCCTTGAGTCCACCAGGCCTTCTCCCTGGGCATCGGGATCTGCTTCATTGAACTGCAAGGCTGCAGTGTCCGGGAGACTAAGAGCCGAAGCTTCGACTTGCTCACACCCCATCGCTGCTTCAGGTGGGGCCTGGACTGAGGGGAGGCAAGGGGGTGAGAGGCACAAAGGTGCAGAGGACTGGAGGCCCCCTCAGCGGTCATCAGTGGACATGCACTGCGGGGAGTCCAGTGGGCAGGGTCAAGACATCAAGAGGGTCTGGGTTGGCCCAAATGTCGTCTTTGGCAGCTCCTGCAGGAATGGTCACTGGGATGGGACATGGGGGGAGGTCCATGCCCACGGACTGGCTGTCCACCCCTCAGCTTCACAGCAGAGTCTGGGGGGGCTCGGCAGAGCTGGGCGGCCGCTCTGCAGGAAGCAGTAACCGAGACCCTGTCTGACTACGAGGTGGCTGAGAAGATCTGGTCAAATCGGGCAAACCGGCACTGTGCAGACTGCGGGGCCTCCCGCCCAGACTGGGCTGCTGTCAACCTGGGGGTGGTCATCTGCAAGCAGTGTGCAGGTGAGGGCAGGCGTGCCAAGCCCAAATGGGGAGAGGGAGGAGACCTGGGCCAGGAAGTTTCCGGGTACTGATGCTACATGTCCCTTACTCGCTAACAGGTCAGCACCGGGCCCTGGGTTCTGGGATCTCCAAGGTGCAGAGCCTGAAGCTGGACACAAGTGTCTGGAGTAATGAGATAGTGCAGGTGAGCAGGAAGGGAAGAATCCAAGAGAAGGCAGGGTGGTGCACTCCTGTAATCCCAGCACTCAGAGGGCGAGGCAGAAGAATCATAATTCAAGCCCAGCCTGGACAATTTAGTCATTTAGCAAGAATTTGTTTGAGAATTAAGAACAAATTTTTTTAAAGGGCTAGGGATGTAACTCAGTGTGAAGCTCCTGAGTTCAGTATCAAATACTGAAAAGAAAAATTTAAAAAGACCAGCTTGCTGGTAGGTTTAGTATTGGGATGTCTGGAGACCTTCGAGCTGTGGTCACTTGTCTTTGTCCCTTGTCATCCTGCAGTTGTTCATTGTCCTGGGAAATGATCGTGCCAACCGCTTCTGGGCAGGGGCCCTACCTCCAGGTGAGGGGCTGCATCCAGATTCGACCCCTGGCTCCCGGGGAGAATTCATCTCCCGCAAGTACCGGCTGGGTCTCTTCCGGAAGCCCCACTCTCAGTATCCAGATCATAGCCAGCTTCTCCAGGTAGGACAGACACTTTAGGGATGATGGAGGGAGGGACAAGCAGTCTCTAAATGGGATGGGTAGTAGGGGCAGGTTTTGATAGTCAGAGGACTGTTCCAGGGCTCTCCAGCTACAGAGGCGCTTCCCTCCCTGCAGGCACTGTGTGCAGCTGTGGCAGGCCCCAACCTGCTGAAGAACATGACCCAGCTTCTCTACGTTGAGGCCTCTGAGGGCGAGGAGCCCTGGTCACCCTCAGCCCTCGATGGTAGCTTGCCTGGCCCACCCCCAGGTTATTCCCCAGTGCCTCCCATCTCTCTCCCTTGCTTTGGTTTTTGTAGAGGGCCCCAATTAACCCATTGCCCATTGGTCCCAGTAGCTCAACATGTTTCCCAACCCCTCAGATCCCCCAGGGCCTGTTTCCCGAGGTCACAAGATGACTGTGAGGTCTGAGGTGATCAGGGTGAGTCAGGATGTGCCAGGTACTAGTTCTGTGGCCCTCCTGACACAGTCAACCCATAGATTGTGTCTCATCTACCTCAGGACAGTCTGTTCGAAGGAATGGTCACCTTAACTATGCTGGTCTCCATTGGTCAGGTCCGGTCCAACATGGGATGCCCTATGCTCTGAGGTCTCCACCCAGAATGGACTGCCTTGCCTAGCTGGTAGGGAGGGACAGTACCAGGCTAGGGGTTTCCTGTTCTTCACCCCCTGCTACCCCCTCCCAATCTGGGGGCTAGTCCCACTAGGTTGTACTTAGCCATGCTGCCAGTGGAGTTGGGGCCAGGGTCTTCCTTCATTAGATTCCTTCCCCAAAAAGGTGGAGCCGTTCCACTACACTGGCCTCACCCGGTCACCTTTTCCCCCTACAGACCCCGGTGTATACAATGAGGTGGTGGTGCCTGCCTCTTTCAGCAGCTTCCTGTACTGCGGTTCCGTCAGCAACAAGGCTGGACCCCCACCCCCTCGGAGAGGCCGGGATGGTGAGAGATTGTCAAGGGATCAGAGGAGATGGGAAGAAAGTGGGATAGGCATGTACCGTACAGCAACAGGTACGACAGGGCCCGGGTGGGAAAGTGGAGCCATGTGCTGAAGTGTTGTGGGCTGCTGGGGGCCGAAGAGCAGCCGTGCCAAGCTGGCAGCATGGAGTGACAGTTATGAGCCTTTCCTCTAAAGTCAGAACATGCGGGTCAGATCCTAGGCCTGCTCCTAAGCTACCCAAACTGAACCTCCGCTTCCCTATCTGCAAAATAGGACCAAATGTAATACGCCTCTCACAGGATCCATGGTATAGAATACGTGTCTGACAGATGGAATGTGACAGGGGAGGCAGAGGTTTGCTGCCCCCTCGACCAGTTCTCTTCCACTTAGCTCCTGCCCGGCTGTGGTGCGTTTTGGGAGCAGCTCTGGAAATGTTTGCATCAGAAAGCAGCCCTGAACCCCTCAGCCTCATCCAGCCCCAGGATGTTGTATGTCTGGGTGTGAGCCCCCCACCCATTGACCCGAGTGACCTCGACAGGTAACAGCCTCTCATGCTCTGTCCAGCTCCCAGCCTGACAGCTGCCTGGTGGACCCTCATTCTCCTCCCTGTCGTTGCCTTCTCTGCAGGTTCCCCTTTTCCTTTGAGCTCATCCTCACTGGAGGGAGGACCCAGCATTTTTGCACAGAGGGAGCTGATAGCTTGGAGGCCTGGGTCAGCGCTGTGGGCAAGGTGAGGTAGCTGAGATGCCTGCCCAAGAGCCCATGGATTACCTGTCCCTCCCTGCGGCCCCCTTCCTGCTTCTCATGTTCCTATAGCCTCTTCCACTTCTTCACCTAATAAGCGGCTAAACTTGACTGAGCATTTATTCTGTGCCAGGCCCTGTGTTAAATGCTACCCATTTAATGTCTCACTTAATTCCCATAGCAACCCTTAGAGGTAAGGACTGTTAACGTTTTACACATAAGGAAGCTAAGTGTTAGGTTATGCAGTCACTTAGTCAAAATCAGAGAGCTAAGAGTAGCAGAACACAGAACTAAAAGCCAAGCCTTCGTGTCTGAAGATCATGCCCATTTTTCACTGTGCCCCAGCCTCTTCCCAGAGAGAACCTTCCCCTGACGCCTGTTACCTTACCCCTGCCCCCCAGTTCTGCAGCAAGGCCCGACCCAAAGCTACTTTCCTGTGCCCCAGCTTTTCTCTTCCTAGACAAGCTGATCTCTTTATCCTGGACTCAGTTCTCAGAATTAAAGGCTCAGGCTCCGGAGTCAGACATCCTGGGATTTGAATCCTACAACTCTCAGCCGTGGGAGTTTTTCACGTCTGCAGAGTGGGTGTAAAAGACTCAGCCCCTACGGATGAGGATTGAGTGACGTGAGGTCCTCACGCAGCAAGGCCTCCGTATGTGGGCGTTAAAATAACGTGGTGGCGATGATGGTGATGATGACAATCTCTCCCATCCTAAAACAGCTTTTTCTCAAGTTCTGCTCTACCTTCAACTTTTCACCCTGGTGCCTTCCTTCCCTGCCTGACAGCTTCTCAGAAAGTCGTGTGCAGCCTGCAGTTGCTCCTTAACCTTTTAATCTATCTTCCTCTGCATGGACTTTGTGAGCTGCACCGTGCAGCTCACCAGTGACTTCTCATGTCCAAAGCCTCCGGTCCATCTGCTGGCCTCCCTAGACCACCTCTGTCGCTGCTGGCAATCTTCTGTAAGAAATGCCCAACTCCTCTGACTCCCAACCCGCTCCCTGCCAGTCCTCCTGTGACTCCTCCTGTGACACTAACAGTGTCCCTATCCCTTCGGGACTCTGTCATGGCCTCCATAGCCAGGTCTGAGTCTCCTCTTACCTCACCTACACTTTCTACAAGTCTATCTCATCCTTTAAAGCAAGTGCTGTCCAAAGTGTAACGTGAGGACTGTCACACCGTACTGGTCCCCAGACTATTTGTCATGGCCCGTGACAGGAAAAGCAAGAATTTGAGAGCAAGCATTTCAGATGTTTTATCGCAATTTGGCAGAGTAATTTCATGTGTTGAATCTAATTATACAAGTTAAAAGCTTATATGTCTTTGTTCTTTTCATCTCAAGTTTTTGGCAATTCATTTTTATTGTTTTTAACAAAAGTATTGGTTAGTGACAGCTTGGAATTTAAAAAAAAAAAAGGGAAGAAAAGAAAAAGACCCTGGTTTTTTTCTCATGGAGAGCCTGAGAAGCACTGCCTTTGACTCATTTATTTATTTTTATTTTTTATTTTTCTTCCGGTACTGGGGATCGAACTTACGACCTTGTGCTTGCTGGGCAGGCGCTGTGCCGTTGAGCTAAATCCCCAGCCCAGCACTGCCTTTGAGTAAGCCCCAAACACCCCTTGCTCCGTGGGGCAAGTCCCCTGGGGAGGTGGCATTGTCCACGGCATCGTCACTTTTCAGTTAGAGCATTTTGTTCACCAGTCCCCTCTCATCCCTGCACCTCAGGTAAGGGTACAGGGATACCACACAGGGGACTTCTCCATGTTGGCTTCAGTGAATTGAACCAAATTTCTTTCCGTCTTTCTCTGTCCATTTCATGGCTCCCCCTTTGCTCTCTCCCCATCACATTCTCGTCCTCTTGTGTTTTCTCTTCCTGTCTTTCTCGGCTTTTCCCCATCTGCTCACTCATTTTGCCCTCACCCTTGACTCTTCTCTCCCTGTCCTCCCGTCTCCATAGTGGTTCTCCCCGCTGAGCTGTCACCAACTGCTGGGGCCCGGGCTGCAGAGGCTGGGCCGCCTGTGGCTGCGTTCCCCCTCCCATACAACCCTGGCCCCTGGCGACTGGCTGTCAGCGTTTGGCCTGCTTCGTGGTGATCACCTGTTCCTGTGTCCAGCGCCGGGCCCTGGCCCACCAGCCTCTGAGGACATGGTGCATTTACGGCGGCTACAGGAGATCAGTGAGCAGGGGTGGGGACAAGGCTGAAGGATAGCCAGAGGGTGGGTAGGAGTGGGCTGTTTTTATTGGAGAATTGCTATGGGAAACAGTAGAATGTAGTGGCTTTAGGCACAGCCTCTGAAGTTGAACTGCACACACTGAGACTCTACCTCTGTCACTTCCTAGTTGTGTGCCCTTGGATAAGTTACTTAACGTCTCTGTGCCTTAGTTTCCTCATCTTTAAAATGGGCACAGTAACGAGACGTTCTTAAGAGGATTACAGTGAAGTTTCAATAATCTGTATAAACACTTAGGCACAGGAAGTGTTGCCTTCCAGGATGCATCTTATAAGGACTCAATAAAGATTATATAGATGCTATTGTTATTATTTGGAGTCACTTACTGGTTGGAAACTGGGAGAGGGAACGCTATCCTCACTGCTGTCCTTCCTGCTAAAAGAGACAGAGGATGGGATAATGTTTTAGGACTTTGGAGACAGGAGACCTGTATGCAAGCTCTGCTTTGTTCTTTTGTAGCAAGCAGTATGTGGCAAGTCACATAAACTCTCTGAGCTGTAGTATCACCGGTGTCACCTGTGTCATGAAAATAATAGTACTTAACGCATAAGTTTGATTGATTGATTGATTTTGAGACAGGGTGTCCCTGTGTAGTTCAGGTCTTGAACTCCTTATGTAGCCCAGGCTGTCCTCAACCTTGAGAACTTGTGGCAGTCCTCCTGCCTCAGCCTCGCAAGGGCTGAGATTATAGGCGTGTGCCACCATGCCCGGTTTAACACATAGAGTTTAATGGATGATTGTTTGTAAGGCTCTTGGCCTTACCCCTGCATACCTAATAAATAGTTAATAAATAATTGTCACTATGCTGAAGATGACAACAGTGATAATTTCCAATGATTCTTCTCCCAGGTGTGGTCTCTGCAGCTGGCACTCCAGACAAAAAGGATCATTTGGTCTTGGTGGACACCGGAAGGTAAATGTTGCTCCTGCCTTTGACCCTGGACCCCGCCATTCCGGAGCCCCGCCCACTGTCTCCACCCTGTTGTGTGGGGGTGCTGCCTCCTTCCTCAAAGTTGCCTTCCCCTTCAGGGACCATCTGGGTTGGATGTTGCTGCCCCCTGCTGGTGGCTTCTGAGCCTCCCAGTGAGAGGACCTTGAGCTGGCTCTGACTCTGGTCTCTTGGGTCCCAGGACCCTGTATCTGCAGGGGGAGAGCCGGCTGGACTTCTCAGCGTGGAACGCAGCCATTGAGGGGGCTGCTGGAGGGGGAGGCACAAGGCTGAAGGAGCAGCAGATGAGCCGGGGTGACATCCCCATCATTGTGGATGCCTGCATCAGTTTTGTCACCCAGCATGGTGAGTGGCCGCTGGGTGACACAGAGCTGGTGATGGGGAGGAAGTGGAGAACAAGGGTGCAGTAATAGCTGAGGGGGTCACCTGAAAAACTTTTGCCTCCAGATACCGCAGCCCGACACCAACTGCCCATCTGACTCCTTGGCAGAGTTTTTCTGAGCCTTAGTTCCTTCAATGGTAAAATGAGGCTCACAGTCCTCAGTTTCTAGGGTATTCGTAACAGTGAGATGATGCATGTCAACCACTGGCTTAGGGCCCGGCAGGTCGCAGGCGTTCTGAGGCACTGGGTCCTGGGCGTGGATTGTAAGCACGTGGCGCTCCAGGTGTGACTAGGGACGCAGAACCCTGGCGAACAGGGAGGGGAGCAGCGCTGAGGCAAGAGCCAAGCTGTGCAGGCAGCAAAATCCCTGAAGGTCTGAGCAGAATTATTCTGGGTGAGTGATTTACTAGGCACAAGAAGTCAGCTGTGCAAGTGTTCCCCAGAATTCTTTCTACTTTTGGACCTCTATTTTGTTCTCCAATCTAAGTAAGGTCCAAAGAAAATCTTACTTCTCCTGTGAATCCTTTTTAGGAGGTTGGACTTGTGAGAAGAAAAATTTACAGAAAACTAAGGAGAGTACAGGGCCCTTCTTTCAGCCACACACACACACACACACATTCTCTCTCTCTCTCTCTCTCTGTCTCTCTCTCTCTCTCTCCAGTAAAGGGCTCTGCTAGCCAGTGGTGAATGACGTTCTCCACACTGAGGTCATGGCCTATTCAGTGACTTCTTGCACTCACTCACTACCGTTCTTCTCAGCCCCTCTGTGTTTAGAGGGATTCAGTCCAAAGCCCAGTGGAGAGGCTGGGAGAGTGCGAGTGGTCCCACCTCTCCGCTAGTGGCCCCGCTCTGCCACGTTCATTCGACAGGTACTTGTCGAGCTGCGGCATGTGCCAGACACTGGGGACTTGGCGGTGAACAGGGGAGGCCCCACAAAGCACACAGACTAAGTGGGAGAGACAGGTAATAAGAAAACAAATATAATCAGCTGTCAGTATTTGCAGGAGTTAAGTTCTATAAAGCCACTGCAAACACTTAATTAGTGAATACTGAATCATTGCCCCAAGGGAGATATAGGTTTAGGTTCCTCTGAACTTCTGGTTACTGCATTTACATCAACCGATCAATACGAAACCTTGTTTTATGTATTTTTCTGTATAAAAACACCTTATTAAATATATGTTAACATTGAACTCAACACCGGTGGTGACATAACTCATACCTGAATGAAGCTTATCTGACACACGTGATGTTTTCTATAAGTCACGTCATAGTCTCCTCACAGTTTTGAACACCGGGCAGCATTTCAGCAGTATACTTGGGGACTAGTTTAAACAGTAAAATATAAAGCTGAGAAATGTGACTGAGTACATTGTGAACAGATATTTTCTTACAATCTGAGGCCTTGGCTAGGAGCACGTGGATGGCGGACAGAGCCACTGTCCCTTCAGTCTGTACGTTTCACAGATGACTGTGCGACCCAAACATACGGTTGGTCCTCTGAATCCATGGGAATCTGCATCCATGTATTCAATCAACAGAAGATAGAAAGAACTTGAAAATGTTCTGTACCAAACATGTACAGACTTTTTCTTGTCATCATCTTGTACACGAGTATGACAACTGTTCATGTACCATTGCTATCATACTAATAGGTGTTACTTTGCAGAGGTGCTGAAACATCCCCTGTGGATAGTGAGGGACTATTACTGGTTTTAGTGTTACAAGTCCATTTTAGTGAGCAGGTGAATGCTGAAATATAGCATCTGTGGATAATGCACATCAACTGTAATGTGATTTCAGAGAACCACTTAAAAATAAATGTGGTGAGGTGGTATATACCAGTTATTCCAGCCCTGTGGGAGGCTGAGGCAGGAGAATTGCAAGTTTGAGCCCAACTGGAGCAATTTAGCAACTTAGCAAGACCCTGTCTCAAAATTAAAAACAAAAATAAAGTGCTGAGGATGTAACTCTGTGTGAAGGCCCTGGGTTCAATCCCTAGTACTGGAAAAAAAAATTCAATCAATATAAAGATAGTGAGAGAAACATGTGATGGCGATGTGGTGCATGACCGTGAAGTCACAAAAGGGTCTTCTGAGGAGGGAAACTTCCACAGGGAGCTGAGAATCAAGACCACAGAGGCACAGGACTCCTCCTTGACCCTTCTTCCCCACAGCCACATTACGGTGGAAGGAGGCCACTATGGGCTGCTGCTTGGGCAGGGTCTGGTTTTACACAGCAGTGAAGGTGAAGAGACTGCTGGCTGTTTTCAGGGCTCCAGCTGGAAGGTGTATATCGGAAAGGGGGTGCTCGGGCCCGCAGCCTGAGACTCCTGGCTGAGTTCCGGCAGGATGCACGATCCGTGAAGCTTCGGCCGGGGGAGCACTTTGTGGAGGATGTCACTGACACGCTGAAACGCTTCTTCCGAGAGCTGGATGACCCTGTGACTTCTGCTCGGTTGCTGCCTCGCTGGAGGGAGGCTGCCGGTATTCCCACCATCCCTGTGATCCAAGGCGCAGCTGGGGATTTCCACCTTCCCCATCAGAATCCACACAAGCCTTCTGTGGGATTAGATAGTTCCCCTCCCTAAAATTCGCACCTCTGGGAGATACGCCTGGGGCTTGGGGACAGGACAGAGACACACCCATCCTAGGTTTGTTTCTCCGGAAATCCCTCCGGCCCCTTCTTCTCCCTTCCGGGATCCTCTCCAACCCTCCTCCATTCTGTCACCAGACCTACCCCAGAAGAATCAACGCCTGGAGAAATACAAAGAAGTCATTGGCTGTCTGCCTCCGGTCAACCGCCGCACACTGGCCACCCTCATTGGGCATCTCTATCGGTTAGTATGGCCTGGCCTCTGCAGGCTCCTCCTGGACCTTTCACCACCTCAACCAAACTCCACAATGTCGTTCATTTATTCATTCATCCCTTAAGCAGTTGTTAAGTGAAGATGTCATAACATAGAGGATCGGAGAGTGGATTTTGGGGTCAGGCAAACCCAGCCTTTAATTTGGCTCCATCAGTCTAACAGTGTGATTTGGAGTGAGGTATTTGTTCTCTCTGATCCTCAACTTCCTCTTTTCGAAAAGGAAGATCATGTAATGAATAATATATACTTCATAGGTTGAGAGTTAAGAGAGATAATCCATGTGAAGTTCTCAGAACAGCCTCTGACATACAGTAAGTCTTTAGAAACAGCAATCAATATTATTCTTATTGTGTCAGGAAGGGTTAGATGTAAGAAATACGGAGATGAACAAGATGTAGACTTATAATTATCAGTCTGTCGGTAGGAGAGACGCTTGAGTGAATTGGAGTGAGTCCCTGCCCATGTTGTTAAGATTACACAAATTACAGAGGTTGGCGAACTACAGGCCACTGCCAAACCCAACCCATTGTCTGTTTTTGTAAATAAAATATTGCGCATAAACTGTAAAGCCACACCCACTCATTTGTATATTTTCTATGTGGCTTGAGAGCCTAAAATATTTAGGGTGTGCCCTTTACGTAGAAAGTTTGCTGGCACCAACTGTGTTTACAGTCATCCCTGCCTTAGTGGTCTGTCCCACTCTCCAAGACTTCAAGCTGTTTGTGTCTTACTACTGTATTGCATGTGCTTAGCCTAGGGCCTGGCGTACTGTAGGGGTTTAAAACGTGCAGAATGAGTGCATACATTGGCGAAGGGGTAAGCACAAACTGCATTCCTCGTGACCCTGATACCTCTCTACAGGGTGCAGAAGTGTGCAGCCATAAACCAGATGTGCACTCGGAACCTGGCCCTGCTGTTTGCACCCAGTGTGTTTCAGACAGATGGGCGGGGGGAGCACGAGGTGCGGGTGCTGCAGGAACTCATTGACGGCTACGTCTCAGTCTTTGATGTAAGGCTTTCCTGAGCCCTGAACTATACCCGCTCTCCTCTACTCAGAGACCCAGCAAGCTCTAGCCCGGCCCAGCACCCACTTGCAGAGCCCTGGCCCTTTTCTCTCATAATGTCATTCCCCTCATCCTTACCCCATCAGCTCTTAGCCTGTCAGGCCTCCAACCCTCTTTCTTACCTAGGTGCCCTTTGGCCTTGAGGTTTGCCCTGCTTCCTTCCTTTCCCAGCAGCCCCCCACCCACCCATCAACTTTTGGCTGTTTTATAGATTGATTCTGACCAGGTAGCTCAGATTGACTTGGAGGTCAGTCTTATCACCACCTGGAAGGATGTGCAGGTAATTTGCCCTGACCCTAGGCTCTTGAGTCGGGGAGGAGGGGACATCGGGATGGGAAGCTGTCCTTTAAGGTGGGAAGCTGAAGTTTTCTTTCCATTCTGTCCTTCTTCGCACAGACTGTCAGCTCTTTCGGAGCCAGGGGAAACCCAAGGAGGGAAGCACTGGGCAGTTGATTTATTTAGGGTTTGCTCCATTTATTCCACCATAAGCATTCTTCATTGTACCTTTCACTGCTTTTTTTTTTTTTTTTGTGAGATAGGGTCTTGCTATGTAGTGCAGGTTGGCCTTGAACTCACTTTGTAGCCCAGGTTGGCTTTGAACTTGAAGTGACCTTCCTCCCTCAGCCTTCAGAGTGCTGGGATTACAGGCCTGCACCACCACAGCTGACCATTCTTCATTTTAAAAATGGTGGTGGCAGCACCTCACTTCTGAGTGTAAGAGATCCGAGGAAGAGTTAGTAAAGTCAAACCAGGCCTAGTTACATACCCTTGGAATTCCAGCACTCTGGGAGGTAGAGGCTCTAGGATGGTAAGTTCCAGTTCCACCTGGAGAACTTAGCAAATTAGTGAGACCCTGTCTTAAAGTAAAAAATAAAAAAGGCTGGGAATGTAGCTCAGTGTGAAGGCCCTGAGTTCAAGTCCTAGTACCTAAAAAAAAAGAGTAAAGTCAGACTGGATGAGAATAACAACTACAAACATCACCTGAGCACTTCTTACATTCCAAACACCTCTAATCTGTTTTTAGCATCCTGCAACTCCATGGAATAGGTAGTTTCATTTTATTTCAAATAAAGAACTTGAGGCTAAGAGTCACTTATTCAAGGTGACACTGTAGCGAGTAGCAGAGTTGGAAACCAGGCAGTCTTGCTCGAAACCTGTCCTCCCAACCATTGCCCTGGGTCACACCACATGCAGCTAAAGATGTGGTTCCACCACTTCTGGAGTTTTCCCCTTTGAAAGCCCAGGTGGTATTGGGGTGAGGATTGGAAGGAGTCCTTTGTGGGGGTTGGTGTGTAGGAGGAAACTTGAGGAATCCTGTAACTTCAGTGTTTTTGCATCCTCTTGTGTCCTCCTTTATTTCTCCCTCAGCTGTCCCAGGCTGGAGACCTAATCATGGAGGTTTATATAGAGCAGCAGCTCCCAGACAACTGTGTCACCCTAAAGGTCAGTTGGGAGGAGATTGAAGGGGAGCGGAAGGGATGGCGGCGGCAGGGTAGAGCTTGCCCAGCTGGGTTTTCTGCTCTTGCCTGGATCTCAGGTGTCCCCAACACTGACTGCTGAGGAGCTGACTAACCAGGTATTGGAGATGCGAGGAACAGCAGCAGGGACAGACTTATGGGTGATGTTTGAGATTCTCGAGCATGGGGAGCTTGGTGAGTAAGACCACGTGTGTGTACATGTGCCTCCAAATACAGTGGACACCTTATCATCCATTCATCCATGAGGGGACCCTCTCATTTCTCATTACTCTTCTCTCTTGGCTTGAGTGAACCTCGCAAGCTCTTGATTTCCCTTTTACCTCAAAGGAGGCTTCTCTTCACTTTTTGCCCAGACTCCAAGGATGAGAGGGCTCTTGGGTCTTCTCTTATTCTCTACCTGTAATTTTCTGTGGGTATACTCCAGTCCTATGGCTTTAAATGCCACAAATAAGCTGATACCCATATTTTTTATCTCTGGCCCAAACCTCTCGTCTGACTCCAGACTCATGTGTCCAACTGCCTACTTGACATCTCCATTTCTCATGAATGTATCAAATTTAAAACATGTAACATCAATCTTGATTCCTAGACCCTTTCCCTAACAAAAAATCCAGGATATTTTCTGTTTTTTTTTCCAACTCATTAAATGACCTTGCAATTTTCCAGATTCGTAAGGCCCTCTGGGAATTTTTCCTTCAGCTTCACACCCAACACACGAACTAGTTCTCTCACTTCTACTCAAATCTGTACACTCTGTCCATCGGTACTGTTACTACCACGCTAGTTGAAGTCACCATACTCTTTTAGCCTCCCAAAATTAACCAATAAAATATGTGGTCCCAGAGCCAGGCTTGGTGGTGCATGCCTGTAATCCCAGCACTCAGGAGGCTGAGGCAGGAGGGTTGCCCAGAGTTTGAGGCCAGCCTGGATTACTCAGTGAGTTCAAGGCCAGCCTGAATTACCAAGTGAGACCCTGTCTCAAAAAAACAAAAATATGTGGCCTCAGAAAGGGAATAGTTGGTTGGTGTTTTCTTGCATAGCGGCCAAATGAAGGTTTCAAGTGTAAATCAGACCATGCCATTCCTCTGGTTAAACTGTCCAGTGGTTTCCCATTGAGGTTAAAATTCCAAGTCTTTATCATGGCACACAGACCCTGAATATCTGGCCCCTGCTTACTTCCTAGACCTCCTCTCTTAACATCACCCATTCTCTTATTTGTCCTCTTTGCTGCAGCCACACTGGCTGTTTAATTCTCCAAGGCTTGAGGCCTTTGTTTTTATCCTTTCTCATGTATGATATTAGCATGGCTTTCTCTTCCTAATCCTGCAGATCACAGTCTCATCTTCAAATGCAACTTCTGAAAGGCCTTGCTTGACCAACCTACCACAGTTGCTCTCCTGTTAACGCTCTCTGTTGCTTCTTTCAGAGCCGTTACTGGCTCACTTGTCTACCTGTTGGTAGCCGGCCCTCCCACTAGGCTATGGCTTTGTGAAGGCAGGTGACGAGTGTCATGCTCACTGCTGTGCCCATGGGCCGGCACAGTGCCTGGCATAGAGCTGGTGCTAAAGTCAGTGTCTGTGGCTGGGTAGTTGAATGGACGCGTGGATGTGTGGCTTTTAGGAGACGAGCTGGGCACTTCAGGCTTTGTGTGGAATTCTGATTGACATCAGTCTCCACCTTGTCTTTTCAGAGCGGCCGCTGCACCCAAAGGAGAAGGTCCTAGAGCAAGCCTTGCAGTGGTGCCAGCTCCCAGAGCCCTGCTCAGCCTCCCTGCTCCTGAAGAAAGTCTCCCTGGCCCAGGCTGGCTGCCTTTTCACAGGTGAGCCTTCCTCGCCCCAGCATTCCCCCAGGCCTCCTCTAGGGCCCTCCACCCAGCGTTGCTCTTCTGTGCCCAGGTGTCCGGCGTGAGAGCCCACGGGTAGGGCTGCTGCGTTGTCGTGAGGAGCCACCCCGCTTGCTGGGAAACCGCTTCCAGGAGAGGTTCTTTCTGCTGCGTGACCGCTGTCTGCTGCTGCTCAAAGAGAAGAGGGTGAGGCCTGGGGGCTGGAGGGGTGGGAGGCTGAGAAGCCATGTGGCAGGAGCCACAGGGTACCAATCCTGACTTCGCCGCACATGCTCTCACCATCCCTCAGCTTCCTGCACCTTGCCCCCTGCCTTGTGATCACATTCCCAGATGTTTCCAGACCTTCTCTCCCCTCTCAACCTCGCTGACTCTGTTCATGTTCCAGAGCTCTAAACCAGAACGGGAGTGGCCTCTGGAGAGTGCTAAGATCTACCTGGGAATCCGCAAGAAGTTAAAGCCTCCAACACCGTGAGTTTTCTTCCCAGCCCATACTTTGAGGGCCTTCCTGCCGTCATCCCTCTGGCCTTTATGGTCACCCCATTACGGTTCCCCTTTGCATCCCAGGTGGGGCTTCACATTGATACTGGAGAAGATGCACCTGTGAGTACTTCCCAGCCTGGCTCCTCCTCTGGCCCAGCCTAGTACCCTGCCTTTTTTTCTCCGCCAGTCCTTCCTCCATCCCTTCATCCTTATGCTTGACCCCTTCTCTCCACTGATTCCATTCTGATCACCTGCAGCTACTTGGCTTGCACTGATGAGGATGAGATGTGGGATTGGACGACCAGCATCCTTAAAGCTCAGGTGAGAGACAGAAAAGGCCGAGGGTTGGGTCTTGGATCTCTCTGGGGCCCAGCTGTACCGCACACTACCCCTGAGCCCATTGGTGCCAACCCCTCAATCCCTTACTAGCACGATGACCAGCAGCCAGTGGTCTTAAGACGCCGTTCCTCCTCTGACCTCACCCGTCAGAAGTTTGGCACTATGCCCTTGCTGCCCATCCGTGGGGATGACAGTGGAGCCACCCTCCTCTCTGCCAATCAGACCCTGGTGAGAGCCCCGCCACCCCAGCCTGCCTCAGCCCCTGTCTGGTCCCTGCCCTCACCCTTGTGAAACTCCAGGAAGGAGTGGTGTGCCTGCCAGTCTGGTGCTCCCCTCTGCTCACAGGGACCTTTCTGTCCACCTTCTCTGTGTCCCCACTGTCCAACCCCACCTCCTGTTGCCCGGCCTCACTGTGTCTGTTTTTCCCTCCTCTCATCCCCATCCTACATGTGCCCAGCGCCGGCTACACAACCGGAGGACCCTGTCCATGTTCTTTGTGAGTACTGTGCCTGCTGCAGCCTGCTTGTCCTGTGTTCCTCTGTACTGCCCGAGTCCTGGGTGTGCTCTTTGTGTCTGTCCTGATGCAGGCCATTAGGGTGTGTGGGTGGGGAAAGGATCAGAAAGAATGAGGAAAATGGATGGTAGGATGCCATGTGGGAAGGAGAAAGTGGTCATAGAATCTGAGAAATAAAAGGAAAGTGGTTAAGTGAACACATTTTGGAGTCAGACACACCAGGGTTCAAGCCCTGTGATTATCATTCCCTCACTGTCTGATCTTGGACAGTTTAACCTGTCTGCAACCCAGTTTGATTTTTTGCAGCAAATCCACTGCATAGGGTTATTCTGATATCATACATGCCAAGTACTTTGCAGCGTCTGCCCTAGAGGAAGAGCTCAATAAACATCAGTGATTAATAATCCCGTAACTAACTCTGTGCCTGCCCCTTGCCACCCTATTCCTGTACAGCCGATGAAGTCATCCCAGGGGTCTGTGGAAGAGCAAGAGGAGCTGGAGGAGCCTGTGTATGAGGAGCCAGTGTACGAGGAGGTAGGGGACTTCCCAGAGCTCACCAAGGAGACCTCCTCGTCCTTCTCTACCACACAGGAATGGACAGCCAAGCCAGAGGGCCTCCTCCCCAGCCAGAGGTCCTTTGATCAACCCCCTCTTTCCAAGACAAGCACCCTGGGCTTGGAGGAGAGGCCACCTGAGCCCCCTCCAGGCCCCCCTTCCAAAAGCAGTCCCCAGGCACAGGGGTCTCTGGAGGAGCAGCTGCTCCAGGAACTCAGCAGCCTCATCCTGAGGAAGGGAGAGGCCAATGCATGTCCAGAAAACCCTTCGCAGTCATCCAGCCCCAATGGTCTTGCAACAGAGACACCTGGCTTCCCCTCCCAACCCCCTTGCACTTCCAGTCTGCCTTCCAGCCAGCCTCTGACATGACCCTGGGATCCGAAGCTCAGGGTGTAGGTACCCAGAGGAGGACCCAGGATCTCACCATGGCAGACACTGCTGAGATCTTCCTCTTCTCTGGCTGGAAAGACTCTGGACTCCACTGTGGTGCTATGGAAGAAGCACTGGTGTGAGGGCCTCAGAAGCCATGGCTCTCATGGCAGATCATAGCTCCTCTGGGTGGCCTCAGTGCATTTATCTGTACCACGAAGTCACTGAAATAAGGAGTTGTGTTCCTTGGCTGTAAACCCCACATTTTTTCTCTCAACAAGGGCAACTCCTGCTTTATATATTTGATACGTAAGGGTTTTGTGAGAGGTTTGGGATAAAAGGATGGTTTCACTAGCATTAAAGAAAAAACAGGTTTGGAAGCCAGAGACCTGGATGATGTCGAAGTCTATCCTATCACACATCCTACATTCCGGGAATACACTGAAGCCCTGGGATGGGGAAATTGATTGGGCTTGGGAACTGGGGGGAGGGGAGCCAAAAAAAAAAAGGGTAGGTCACTAGTAATAAGCCTTGGAATCAAAAGGCAGTCGTTCTTTTATTCATTCATTCATTCAATAAATATATTTTGAGTACCAGGTCCAAATGAAGTCCTTGTTCTTGTGGCACCCCCACTGTAGAGAAGAAACAAACAAATAGAAAATACACAAACACATGCAAAGTGAACGTAGTACTGTGAGGAAACTAAATCAAGGGGTGAACTTGCATGGCAGGAGCTGGCCTGTGCACTGGGTGGCGGGGAAGGAAGGGCTCCGTGAGGAGCTGAAACAAGTGTGAGTCCAGACAAGTGGGGTGCTGGGGAAAGGAGCTTCAGAAAGGGCATGAATGCTGTGCAGTGAGACGGCAGCTGGCCTGTTGAGGGACAGCAGAGAGGCTAGAGTAAGGGAGCACAGCGGGTGGCCAGCCAGAGAAGAGTACCAGGGCCAGTCACAGGCCTTGTAGGCTATGGAATTTATTTGGATTTCAGGCATCAGGATCTTATTTTGAAGCAATTGCGTTTTAAGCAAAGAAGGGTGAGATCTTACTTCCCTTTCAAAAATAAAATCAATCACCGGCTGCTTTGTGAAGTGTGCTGTGGGAGGAAACCTGGAAGCAAGGAGACCAGATATGAGACCAGAAAACTGATCATGGGGGCTTGGGCTAGGGTGGTGGTCTTGGAAACCTTCCTTCCTTGGAAGGAAGCAGATCAGTGGAAGTGTGTTTTTGGTTTGGGGTTTTTTGTTTTTTCTTTTAATAGAGCCTGTAGGACTTGCTGATGGATGGGATATTGGAGGTAGAAGAAAGGGCACACCGACTCCTGGGTATTGACTTTCCTAACCGGAGGGAGTGTGCTACCACGTAACATACTATCTGAAGGAAGACCAGATTGAAGGGGTCATTTTAAAAATGTGCAGGGCTGGGGATATAGCTCAGTGGCATAAGCGCCCGCCTGGCAAGTGTAAGGTCCTGAGTTTGACTCCCGGTACCAAAAAAAAAAAAAAAAAAGTTAAAAATGTGCAGTAACTAAATGTGCAGGGGCTGGGGATTTAGCTCAGCGGCACAGTGCCTGCCTGGCAAGCGCAAGGTTGTGAGTTTGATTCTCAGTACCAGAAAAAAAAAACCAAAAAACAAAAGCCTAAATGTGCAGTACTAGTGAAGGTGTCCGTGGTGGTTGGATTTGTGAATCTGGAGTTTTGAGCCATGTCACAGATGTAGGGACCTGGGCATAGGCTAAGGAGGCTTAGGTGAGGAGGATGAGGAAAGGGTGTGAGGATCCTCAGGAAGGAGTGTCAGGGCTGGTAGACCCTGGTGTGCAGAGCCTGATGTTCCCTGAAGCTTTCCGTGCGATAAGGCCCCATGTGCATCATCCAAGCTTCTGCCCCCTCGCTGGTATCGGTTAGTGTCCAGTGGAGCCCAGAATGTACCTGGCTTTTCCTCTAGGCTTGGTTCCTTCCTGACTCCAGGCATCTTTCTCAACCTGCTCATGCTGGCTTTTCCAGTTTAGCAGGAATTAGGGGGAAAAAAAAGGTATGGAACCAGCCCTGTCTCCCTTCGTCAGATGCATCTTCACTCAGGTTTCTGTGACTCAGTTTCCCTGGTCACCTTTGAGTTTCTTGCCATTCTTCACCTGTGGCCTTGGGACTGATGATATGCATATGTAAATGAATGACTAGATATAATTACAGGCTGAATCAGTGGCTACCCTAGAAATAGAACCTAGGCGTCTTCACTCAGAAGCCCAGGGTTCTCCCTACCGCCCAGCAGACGCTGCGTCCGCCCCGCGGCCCGGGCCCTTCCCGGGTGTGCGCAGCAATAACAAGAGGCTCAGCTCCTCTGCTGCCCTAGAGCTTCCGCGCTCAGCGCGTAGCTGGACCCGGCGTGGGCGGGGCGAGGGCGGAACCGGGCCAGATCGGGGGCGGGGCTCTGCCGTGGGCCGGGCCTCCTCGAGTTCCGGAGTCGAGTCGCCGGCCGCCTTGGCCAGAGCGGAGATGCAGCCGCCGCCCCGAAAAGTGAGATGGGCTCTGGAGTGGAGACTCCTGGCGGGCCGGGACAGCGGAGGGAGCCCCAGGGGCACCGACTGGGGTGGGGGCCGGGGTCGGGGAGGGGTCAAAGCCTAGCAGAGAAGTAACCGAGGATGCGACTCTGCGCTCCTCGGCCCCGCCCCCTCACCGCCCCCTGCGCGGAGTGTTTTTTAGGTGCCCACGCCGGCGATCTTCATCCTCCCCTGAATCCCATAGGTGAAGCCGGCCCAGGAGGTGAAGCTTCGCTTCCTGGAGCAGCTGAGCATCCTTCAGACACGGCAGCAGAGGGAGGCGGATCTGCTGGAGGACATCAGGTAGCCCTGACCCCTCGCCTTCACACGCCCCAGCCTCTGCCTGGCGCGCCTCTCCTCCCCCAACCTCCGACTGCCGGGGCCGGGAGGGGGCGTGCCGGGGCGCAGAGGCCTCCCGCTTCCCCGCCGCGGCCCTCACCCTAGGCCTACCTCTGGATATTGGAAATGCACACATGTAAACACATGGGGAGCGTCCTCAAACCCTTGACTCTACACCGCACCCGCACCCCATAGTCAAGCTCAGGGCAGAATCCCCTCCGTCTACTAGACCTGCTGGAAGCCTGGCGGACCCGATTGTGGGCCCCCAGCAGTCCTCACCTCCAAGCCCACAGATGGCCCTCCGGGGGTGGGGCGGATCCAGCCGAGGTTCTGAGCAGGGAATGAGCCTGTCTTGTGTTGCGTTGCCTGAGGTGATCTCAAGGACTGTCTCCTCACTCCCATTCCCTCTGAGTGCAGCCACACTCTGCACTGGCTCCCCTCTTCTTCCTGCCCAGGCGGAAGAGAGGATTGAGAGTGGGGTAACATGGCCAATTACTATAATCGCCACCTCACTTGACAATCTCCACAGATCCTACAGCAAGCAGAGGGCAGCCATTGAGCGGGAGTATGGACAGGTATGGGACTCTTCTCTGGGCCTTTTTTTTTTTTGTTCTTTCTTCCTGTACACCCTCTGTTGTGGTCAAGAACAAATGCCTAGAGTCAAACGCCATTGTGCTGCATACTAGCTGTGTGACTGTGAATAAGTTACTTAACATTTTTTGGCCTTACTCTTTTTCTGTGAAATGGGAATAATAATAATAATAATAATACCTTATTTGCTGGGCATAGTGGCACAGGCCTGTCATTGCAGCTCTTGGGAGGCTGAGGCAGAGAGATTGCCACAAGTTTGAGACCAGCTTGGCCTACGTAGTGAGTTCAAGGCCAGCCTAAACTCCAGAGCGAGACACTATCTCAAAACAACAATAATAGTACCTTACTTTCATGTAGGGTTGTTGTAAGGATTAAATATTATAACGAATAAAAGGCATTTAGCAAAGCAAGTAGTACATCTTCTACATCCAAAGAATGGTATACTGTGGTCTTGTGTTCTCCCAGTTGGCTCTTGGAAAGGGAACTGAGCTCGTGATGGCTTTCTCACCAGGCACTACAGAAGCTGGCCGGGCCATTCCTGAAGAGGGAAGGACAGCGGAGTGGGGAGATGGACAGCAGGTGGGTCTCATGGAGGCAGAGGGCCACAGGGGGCAAAAGTGAAGGGGAGCTCAGCCCCTGAAACCTGTGGAGATGAAGGGCTAGTGACGGGGCAGGGCCTGTGAGCTGCAGGTAGAGCTGACGCAGCAGCAGGAGAGGAGCTGACCCAGCAAGGACATTGTGGGTGAGGGCCGAGGGCATGAGTGATCTTGTGGCTGAGCTAATGGGCTGATCGATTGATGGGCTCCCAGACAAGGGGGGAAGGGAAAGCACTCTGTCTCCCACGGTGTTGGGGGCATCTCATGAGGCTGTGGAGTGTTCCCCTCTTCAACATGGACTTTCTCTGGGGAGGGACAGGACAGTGTTTGCTGCCTGGCGCTGCCTGCTGGATGCCACCGTGGCAGGAGGCCAAACTCGTCTCCAGGTGTCTGACCGATTCCGTGACCTAGCAGGGGGCACAGGGCGGAGTGCCAAGGAGCAGGTGCTTAGGAAGGTATGTTAAGAGTATGGGGTGGGGGGCTGGGGATTTAGCTCAGCGGCAAAGCGCCTGCCTGGCAAGCGCAAGGTCGTGAGTTTGGTTCCCGGTACCGGAGAAAAACCAAAACAAACAAACAAACAAACAAAGAGTATGGGGTGAAGGAAGAGCTGGTTGGGGACTGGAGGTGGCCCGGGTCAGGACTTTGTGTTCATGCCACTAGGGAACAGAGAGCCTCCAGAGGGCGCAGGCTGAGGTGCTGCAGTCTGTCCGGGAGCTGAGCCGAAGTCGGAAGCTATACGGGCAGCGGGAGCGTGTGTGGACCTTGGCACAGGAGAAGGCAGCTGATGTCAAAGCCAGGTAGGCCCATGGGAGGTGAGGAGGCCTGAGCCGGAGACATGGCGCCAAAGCATCAGAGCTAGGCCTGATGCCGGTTCTTCTCCCTCACCTGCACAGGCTGAATCGAAGCGACCATGGGATCTTCCACTCTCGGACCAGTCTCCAGAAACTGAGCACCAAGGTTTGGAGGAAAAAAATAGGAGTGGGGCAGAGTGGTCTAGTGGTTTAGAACCCAGGGGCATAAGTATAAGAGAGTGGGTAGAGTCCAGACTCTCCTACTTCCTAGGTGGGTGACTGTGGTTAACTTAGCTGATTTTTCTACACCTCATTTTCTGCATCTAAGCAGTAGAAATAATATCTTTTCATTCCTTTAATATGTACTTTTTGAAGATCTCCGTGTACTGGGCACTGTTCTGTCAATGGGGACACAGTGGAAAACATGACTATGGGAGTTCTTGCCCTCACAGTCTGATTGAAGGAGACAGAGAATATGTAAATAATCAGATGGAGATAGAAATAAAACCAGGTGCCATGATGTAGGGTAACAACAAAGGGGTATAATTTAGATAGAAGGCCTTTCTGAACAAGTGGCCTGAGTGGCAAGAAGGACCCCACCAGCCATGCAAAGATACAGGGAAAGAACATCCCAGGGAGAGGGAATGGTGAGTGGGGCCTGAGGTGGAAATGACTTTGGAGACTCGAAGAACTGAGAGAAGGCCAGGTGCCTGGAACACTGTGAGCAAAGGGATAAGCAGTTAAAAGAGAGGCTGTGGGGACCAGCTCATGTTGGACCTGGTAAATCACTGATGGGAACAGTTTGGATTTTATTTTAGATGCATGTAGAAAGCACTAGAGTGTGAGTGTCCAATCTTTCACCTTGCCTTGGCCACAGTGAGTGAAGAGGAATTGTCTTGGGCTGCATATATGTAGTTAATGTATATAAGTAACAAAGCTTCCTTTTTAAAAATAAGGCAACATAAACATAAAACTAGTGGGCTATTGACCTTGTTTTTGTGAAACTAAAGCAATAGTGTCTGGTTTGATGGAAGGGGTTGCAACTCTTAGTGAGTTCTCAAGGTGCTCATCAGAAACTTTGAATTCACTTTTACTCCTTGCATGCTTCGTCTTTGAAAGTAGTTGTTCACAAATGCACTGACTGTGTGTGGCAGGCACAGGAGGCGGGAGTTAGCATCGCACTGTGCTCTCCCCTACACAGCATTCCATTGTTGTTGTCTATGCTGGAGCACCATGCAGTTGAGTCATGAAAGATATTGATAGAAACGATGTAATCATGTTAAAGGGTCACAGTATTATGGGGCTGCATGAGTAGCTGTTTAGGGGCTGCGTGTGGCCTGCAGGCTGTGGGTTGAACATGCCGACACTACAGGATTTTGAGAAGGAGTTGCATGTGACATTTTTCGTATAGTGCCCAAACACATAGTAAGTATTCGATAATGTGGGGACCTATGCTGGATCTGGCTTTGGGTGGCCTTGGGCCCAAGGCTCCTTGTTGACACCTCTTTCCTGCTCTTAGCTATCTGCCCAGTCAGCCCAGTATTCCCAGCAGCTGAGAGCAGCCCGCAATGAATACCTGTTCAACTTGGTAGCCACGAATGCGCACCTTGACCACTACTACAAGGAGGAACTGCCTGCCCTGCTCAAAGTCAGTCCTAACCCGGATTACCCCTGCCTCTCACAAGGGGGAGGGCCACCCTCTGCTTCCCACTTCCCATGAGGCTGGCTGATGCTAGAGACTAGCTTGCCCAGAGTAGGTAGAAGGTACATACTTGGGTTCTTGTTCTGATTCTAGCTGTCTGTATACATGATACAGTGTCCTTAAACCCCTCTGAGTCCCACATTCCTTACCGGGGTTAACCCCAGTTCTGCCTACCTTATCTATGAATGAGGTTTAATAAAAGAGAAGGAGTATAATAATATTTTTTAAACTGTTAAGTAGGGTTGGGGTGTAGCTCAGTGATAGAGCACCTGCCTAGCATGTACAAGGCCCTGGGCCCCATCCCCAGCACTACAAAATAAACAAATAGTTAAGGGGTATGCACACATGAAGGCCTGCATCAGAAGTAGTAATGATGTTTTATTCCTTCCCTCCTTCCCATCCTTCATGTCCGTCCCTCACCCAGACCTTGGACAGAGACCCTGCTTTGCAGTAGAGGCCTGGGGGAAAGGGTGGTGTTAGTATCTTGGATTTCTCTTCAGGCCCTGGTCAGCGAGCTGTCAGAACACTTGAGGGACCCCCTGACCTTATTGAGCCGAACTGAGCTGGAAGCTGCAGAGATGGTCCTGGAGCATGCCCGCCATGGGGGCCAAGCCACCTCCCAGGTGAGGGCAGGGCCATGAGAGCACCCTTAGAGATCCTTCCACCCCTTTCCTTTGCATTTTGTCCTCTTTTCTCCAAGAGGTACTGGGGACAAGGTTGGAGAGGAGCCCTGTGAGTGGGTGATCACACCTTTTTCTGCCCCAGGTAAACTGGGAGCAGGATGTGAAGGTATTTCTTCAGGAGCCTGGAGTGTTTTTTCCCACCCCACCTCAGCAGTTTCAGCCGGCAGGGGCTGATCAGGTGAGACTTGCCTTATTGTTGGAAGAAGGCCAAATATAAACAAAACTATGATTTAGCCCTCCCACCCTGTATTAACTCATCTGCTCTTAAACCTTGGAGAAACAATTCTAGTTGTCTCCCTTCTACCATGAGACACAGATGCACCTTAGTTCACCACTCAATCTCTGTACTGCAGTGTTCTCTCCATTCATCACTGTTCATCTACCAGGATCTCATTCCTAGGACTCTCTGTGCCCACACTGTGTATATGTCTGTGTCCACAGACATAGCCATGTGCTCCCACCTCTTTGTCCCTGTCTTTAGAGGTTAAGACAAAAGAGAGATAAAAGGAGGGAACTGGAGAAGAGGCACAATCTCAGGTCCTCCTCACAACACACCCATCCCATTCAGGTGTGTGTGCTGGAAGAGGGAGCAGAAGGCACGGCTGAGGAGAGGAGCCTGGAGAAAGAGATCCAGCGCTGGACGAGCCGAGCTGCCCGTGACTACAAGATCCAGCACCACGGGCATCGGGTGAGGTGGGGGCGCAGGAGTTGGGGGTGGGTAAGAAATGCTGAGGGATGGGGATCCCTAGAGTCCTTGGGGAGGAGGGGAGGGAAGGGTATTTTAACAACGGTGTGACACAGTAGTAGCTGCAGTAGTGAGCACAGCGTTTGGAGGTAGACTAACCTGGGCTCAAATTGTCTTCTGCTGCTTTCGAGTTCTGTAACCTTGAGTAAGAAAGTGACTTCACCTCTGTGGACTTCAGTTTCCTCATCACTAAAGTGTGGCCGATAGTAACACCCACTTCACAGGAAAGATTAAATGACAATGCAAGTGATTCAGCTAGCAAAGTACAAAGCCCAGAGTAAGTTCTGGTCTACCCGTGGCTCCACCTGGCTCCCCCACCCCCCTTAGGTGCTGCAGCGCCTAGAGCAGAGGCGACAGCAGGCTCCAGAGCGCGAGGCTCCAGGCATAGAGCAGCGGCTTCAGGAAGTGAGGGACAGCATTCGGCGTGCACAGGTAAGGCTCAGCCCTGGGCTTTGAGCTACGGAGATCCCTTCTTCTTTGACAGCCCACTCCTCTTCCTGATGGGAGGAAGTGGGGAAACAGAGAGCAGACAGTTGGCCAGGCTCCACCCTTCCTTCTCATGCCAGGTGAGCCAGGTGAAGGGGGCTGCCCGGCTGGCCCTGCTGCAGGAGGCTGGCCTGGATGTACAGCACTGGCTGAAGCCAGCCATGACCCAGGCCCAGGATGAGGTGGAACAGGAACGACGGCTCAGTGAGGCTCGGCTGTCCCAGAGGGACCTCTCTCCTACTGTGAGCACTTCCCCCAGCCCAGCCATACACACCCAGGAGGGTGAAATTCCCCAGGAGGAGGCAGATCCTCTAAAATGGGACTCAGAACAGTACCTAACTTAGAGGGCTGTTATGAGGCTTAAATGTGATGATTCATGTAAATTATCTGCATAGTTTTTGGCACAGAAAGTCCTCAGTAAACTTTTATCATGATATAATGGTCAGAACTCAGGTTCTGGAAGCAACTTAAGTGGTTTGAGTACCAGCCACTCCACTTACTGGCTGTGTGATTTTATAAAATGACTTAACCTTTCTGAACCTTGGTTTCTTCAAAAGTGAAAGGAGGTTTGTAATTCAAAATAACAGCAGATTATTATGAAGAGTAAATGCAATAATATACATAACATACTTAGCATTGTGCAGGGCACATATCAAGCCTTCAGTGGCTATCATTTAGTACCATTCTGCTCTGTGGTGATTTTGGTTGAGAAGTGGTGGTTGGTTGGGGGTTCTACCTTGGAGGAGGATTCCTAGTGTCCTTGAGGGTAGGATGGAGGAGGCCCCATAATCATATGTGTCCTCTGCCCTGCTCCAGGCTGAGGATGCTGAGCTTTCTGACTTTGATGAATGTGAGGAGACAGGAGAGCTCTTTGAAGAGCCTGCCCCTCCAGCCTTGGCCACCAGGCCGCTCCCCTGCCCTGCACATGTGGTGTTTGGCTATCAGGTATGAATGGGCTTGGGGACTTCAGGTGGGGCAACAGTTGGGGATACCCAAATCCTGAATTCTTCCTTGTGGGGCTTTTAGGCAGGGCATGAGGATGAGTTGACCATCATGGAGGGTGAATGGCTGGAGGTTATCGAGGAGGGAGATGCTGATGAATGGGTCAAGGTGTGTATGGGACCCTGATACTGACCTTGTGTTGGGGCAGTGGGAGGACTTCTCTATGGCCCCCCCAAGGACCCATCCAGGCAAAGTTGGAAGCCTGAATGGAGAAGAGCCAGGGCCATGGACTACTGAGGAAAGTCTAATGTCCATTCACATTGCTGGGTGAGCAGGCTCGGAACCAGTATGGTGAAGTAGGCTTTGTCCCTGAGCGCTATCTCAACTTCCCGGATCTCTCCCTTCCTGAGAGCGGCCATGACAGTGACAATCCCTCAGGGGCAGAGCCCACAGGTAAGAAAAAAAAGTTCTGGGTCCAGAGGCCCTGGATATGGAGACAAATTATTAGGTGCTTATTACGGCTTTGGGGTATCACGGATTGAGGGTACCACCATCTCACTCCTTTTCCCACCGTTTATTCTGGGCTTCTGCAGCATTCCTGGCCAGAGCCCTGTACAGCTACATTGGCCAAAGTGAAGAAGAGCTGAGCTTTCCTGAAGGGGCGCTCATCCGCCTGCTGCCCCGGGCCCAGGATGGAGTGGATGATGGCTTCTGGCGGGGAGAATTTGGGGGTCATGTTGGGGTCTTCCCTTCCCTACTTGTGGAGGAGCTACTTGGGCCCCCTGGCCCCCCTGAACTCTCTGACCCTGAACAGGTGAGGCTTTGTTCTCCTGTGTCCCAAGTACCTTTGAGTTGACCCTCTCACTCCAGTAAGGCCCAGGTTTACCTCCTATAGTGGCTTGGGCCTTTCTATCTCCTTTGACTGGGCAGACAAAAGGGAAACCAAGGCAACCTTCATAGGAGTTTCGAGGACTTTAGTGCTAGATAGACCTAAGTTCTCATTTCCATTGCATGATCTTGGGCAGTCACTTAACTGCCAGTCGCTTGTTTCTTCATGTGTAAAATGAAGATAATACCTGGCTTGGCAAGCTCATTATCATGACTAGAAATAATAGGGGTAGAATCCTTAGTCCTGTGGGACATAGGAGGTACTTAAATTGTGATGCTATTAGTACAGTACAGCAGGGAGAACATCGGACTGGGAGTTAGGAGATGCATGTTCTAGTTAGCATTCTAATCACACTGTGATCTCAGACAGATGGCTTAACCTGAATCTCACCTCTGACATTGGAGTCATAAAAATGCTTGGTTCAGCCAAGCATGGTGGTGAATGCCTGTAGTCCTAGCATTTGGGATGCTGAGACAGGAGGATCACAGTGGGTTCAAGGCCAGCCTGGTTTACATAGTGGATTCAAGGCCAGCCTGAACTATATAGCAAGACCCTGTCTTGAAAAAAAAAAAAAAAAGCTTGTCTCATGGGGTGTTAGTGAAGACTGAATGAATTCCTGCGTCAATACAAGCATTTGGCCAATTCCCACTTGTACTGGGAAGTAGTGGGATAGGAATTGAAGGTGAGATGAAAAGAGCTGGCTAGCCTTGTGCATGAACCCGCTCCCCCCCTGGGAGGAGTCCTCCCACACAAACCAGACCCTTATTTGGCCACAGCCCTGGCCAGCAGTCTGGCTGCCAGACCTCCCAGCTGAGCCTCATTCCTGAACCACAGAAACTAACTCAGCAAGTCTGGGGCTGTAGCTCAGTGCAGGCAGGTGTAGCATGCCCAGTGTGCCTAGTATGTGTGTTCAAGCCCCGCTCCAATGAGACAACAAAAAGCCAAGCTAGCATCTGAGAGAGAAGCGTTGGTTGCTATAAGCAGCTAAAGCTTGGAATAATTTGATGTGCATCAACAAATAACCAATAAAGCCAGCAATCAGAACTGTTAGGCCAGGAAAAAAAGAAACTAGTGAAAGTTTCCTATATGCCAGGAATAACTCTGTGTCTACCCTGGTCCCAGATGCTGCCATCTCCTTCGCCTCCCAGCTTCTCCCCTCCTGCACCCACCTCTGTTTTGGATGGACCTCCTGCACCTGTCCTGCCCGGGGGTGAGTAGAGGGAATTGGGGATCCTGGAAGGACAAGAGATGGCAAGGAGGAAGCTTGGAATCCCAGGTCATACTCTGCTTCTCTGCCTGGCCTCAGTGTACCTTGCTGTAGGGTCCACTAGAGTTTGATGCAGAACAGCTTGGGATTTGGAGCCAGGCTGGCCTGCTTCAGATCCTGTTCTGTCACTGCCTGGTATGTGACTTGATATGGGATATTTAACTTGTCTGTCATCCTTTTATATCCTTTATAAAGTGAGGTCAAAGGTACTACTTTATTGGACGGTTATAAGAATTTAAAAAGATATGTATAGTGTATACAGCATTGTGCTTGGGACGTAGTAAAGCATGCAAGTAGTAGCTATTTTATTGTTCTTTTTAAAATTACCTACCTTCTCTCACTGCATTCCCCCAAAATGTAGCCTTTGCTCTTAGTATCCTTGGATCATGCAAATACCTAGCTTTGTATATTCCTTTTTCCTTGTGACATTTTTTGTGGTGCTAGGTATGGAACCCAGGACCTTGCACATGCTAGGCAAGCATTCTACCACTGAACTACAACCCCAGCCCTCCTTCTCTCTTTTGCTCTTGGAATACCCATCTTTACTAAAACTTTCTAGTGCTTCCACCTGCTACAGAGTCATCCTTGACCCCCCTGGAGTCACCACCATTTCCTGCCCCCTAGTTCATTTTAAATGACTTAGCACTCAGACATTGTGTTTGTTTGCCATCCCGCCCCTCACCCCCACCCCAGCACTGGAGATTGAACCCAGGGGCATTCTACCACTGAATCCTTTTATTTTTTATTTGCAAACAGGGTCTTGCTAAGTTGCCCAAGCTGGCTTTGAACTTGTAGTCCTCTTGCCTCAGGCTCCAAGTAGCTGGGATTTACAGGCCTGTGTCATTATGTCCAGCACATTGTATTTTTTTTTTTTTTTTTTTTTTTTGGTTTTTCTCCGGTACCGGGAACCGAACTCACGACCTTGCGCTTGCCAGGCAGGCGCTTTTGCCGCTGAGCTAAATCCCCAGCCCCCCAGCACATTGTATTTTTGATGTTCCATTATTGAGATTCTGAGAGGCATTGGAAGGGTAGAGGGGCTGTGTATCCCACCTGCCTTTTTTTGGTACCTTGATCAAAGCTGATCATATAGCAGTTGCTCAATAAATACTGGTTGAGGGTGGATGGATTAATGCAGCTTATGGCTCAGGTTGGTGATTATTTGTTAATCCAACAAGTACTTATAGAGTGTCACTATTCTGAATGCTGGAGATGCAGCAGTAAAACCAAAGCCTAAACATTGACAGTGGTTCTTGTTTCTAGAAACAGCCCTGGACTGCCCTGGATCCCTGGACCCAATGGCACCTCGACTCAGGCCGGTAAGGGCCCTGTGCTGGAGGGTGGGTATAGAGTGCTCGTTCCAGCTGGTCCTGTTCTCTGCTGGGCTGAGGGAATGGACAGGGATATCCTGAGGAAGGACTCTAGAGCACTAACTGTGTGTTCCCTACAGATGCGGCCACCACCTCCCCCACCAGCTAAAGCCCCGGACCCTGGCCATCCAGATTCTCTCACCTGAAGCCATGGGGATCACTGCCCCCTAGTGATGCTGCTGCCCCTATCTCCATGCTTTCAGACCACCCCCCTGAATGATCTGGAGTGACACAGCCAAAAGCTGGAATATCCCCCATATCTGCTCTCACTTCCAGGGGTAGAAACTTCTCCTTTCCCCTTTTCTGGGGCTAGAACCCAGTTCATTTCCCCATTGTCCTCCTGCCATTTTTAGGGCTGGAACTACCCCTTTGTCTTCTGCCATCACCCCATCTCTAGGGTGGTAAAATACCCCAAAATCTCTAGGGCTGGAACCCGCCCTCTAAAGTCTTGAGTGGTTCTGGCCCAACTCTGTCTCTGCTTTGGCTGTGTGGTCCATCCCACTCTGGATGCCAGGGTTACTGGGATTGGGGCCAGGAGAGGAGCAGGCCTTGGGAGTCACAAGGAGATGGAGCCAGTATGCAAAGCAGCTGTAATGGTCTGAGCGGATTTATTGACAGTGAATAAAGGGCACAAAGGCCAAGTCAGGCCCTGGACCTCTTGTGCCAAGAGGGCAGGATGCCTAAGGTGCTATTGCTTTAGGGACCCACCAAGGGGGCCTGGTCCCAGCTGCCACGCTCGAGCGTATGGAGCTAGGTATTGGGGAAGGCAGGCCAGGTGACCTATTGGCAGATAAGGGATGTGGAAAAGAGTGCGGGTCCAGGAGTGTGGGTAACTTCTCCAGTGGTCCCCCAGGCTGAGACCATGCAACTCCAGGTGGAAGTAGAGCTGGGCCCTCAACCGGGGGGCAGTGCCATCTAGTGAAGGGGAGGGCCTTCATGTCCACTCCCCCTGGCCCTGCCCGCTGGTAGTCCATCAGTACAATGAAGGAAGAGGCTTGGAGGAGAGGAAGGGGAACAGTGTTGCTTCTTGTTCAAGCTCTATCCGAACTTTTCTAAGTCCTTCCCTATCTGCTGAAGAACATACCCACTCCCCACCACCAGCCAAGGAATTTGTAGCACAGGCCAAAGCTGCACTTCACCCTGGGAGTTCAGGGCACTGAGAGCTGATGAGCTTAGGGAGTTTAAGTTGGGGGAAAGATCATCTGATTTGGGGCTCAGGTAGACTCACCTCATATACCCTCTGCTTCCTGTGATGGAGACACCTGGGAGAAAGGGGAGGTGTCAACAATAGGAACAGGTGGTGAGTCATTATCAGTGATCCCCAAAGAAGTGGACAATAAAACTGAGCCCACTGCAGCCCTAGCCACGTCTTCATACCTGATGATCTGAGGTGTCCAATTTGCTTGGCTGTTCATTGGCCCTTTGACTGGGCAGCTTTGGGCTTGGGCCCTTCCCTCTGGCCCCCAATGTCAGCTCTGCAGAGGTTCCAGGGTTCCCGTCATGTGCACAAGGGATAAGGTTGGTGTCCCTGAGTCCTCCATTCTGCACTGGGGGGCTGGCTAGGACCTGAGGCTGCAACTCCTCACGAGGCAGCCTCTCGATGGCAGGCATCCCTGCCCTGGGCTGGCCTCCCTCAGACCCCTGACCACCCTTTGGGTCCTGCCCCCCACCAGAGGCCAAGCTCCTGTCCATGGGGGAACCATCACGATGCTCGTGTAGCCCATAGCGCTTCTCAATGTGTGTCACCCGGAACCTGGAAGGGAGAGAACATTGGGGCTTAGGACCACAACTCAGGGTGCCTGGTCCTCCCCTCTGACCAGAGACATTCTGGGTTTGATGGCCATTTTTCTCTGGCCTAGGTTGGGGGAGGTTTTCTCAGATTGTGGGGCATATCATGCAGCCTGACTTTTGATATGGCTCCCAGTCAAGAAGGAAGGAGCTGGGTCCCATCACTGGGGTCTCTACTTCAAGCTCTTTTTCCCTGGAGGGTTGTTTTCCCACCTGCCCACAGAGAATACAGTGGTCTCCCCAGCACGGGGGCGGCTTTTTCCTTCCTTGGAGCGGCCCTGACGCACAAGTGGGGGCCTCTTGCTGCGGCTGCAGTGGATGCAAGGGGCTGAAGAACCCAGATGCACTGTGTGGTGATGGGAGGGGGCTCCGTCTTGCAGGCTGGAGGTGGCATCCATGCTGGACAGCAGGGAGGAGGGGAACAGAAATGATACTTCTATTTCCTTTCCAGTTCTGTTTTCTCCTGTTCTTTCAGCATGCTCTTTAAACCCCCAGAAGCCCCATGGACCCCCAGCCCCAACATCCTTTTGTCTTTATCTAATAAATTCAGTATTAAGATGCCAGTGACCATGTGTTCCTCCTTCTAGCCCTGTTTGCTACAAAGCAAAACAAAAAAAGGTTAATGCTTAACTGAAAAGAGTGACACTAGAGGTGACTGTTAGGCTTGCTGAGCTCTAGCTGGGAGACATGGTTGGAAGGACCAGAGGCTGCTACAGAACTTCTTTCTTCCTGTGAGGTAGCTAGCCTGGCCCTCTCCCAACCCCAAGCGTGCAGTGATGCTGGGAGAGGGCTGTGCTGGAGGAGAGGCTACTCTCCCAGGCAAGCTCATTCATGCTGGCCCTGTTTCCAGCTCACCTGGAGAGCTGCACTGTCCCTTCTCCTTCACTGTCCCCCAGCATCTCCTTTAAGGCCTCAGCATTGGCTGAGGGGGAAAGGAAAAGAGGGAGTCAGTGGAGGTGGAGGTCAAGGGAAGAGCAAGACAGGGTGAGAGGGAGCAAGGGGTCAGCCTGTACCCACCTTCATTTTGAATGATGCAGCGAACAATCCTCTCTACTGTGTCCTCATTCACGTCATCGTCCTCAGCTGAAGGATGAGAGAGGTTGGCAAGGGAGCAGGAAATGAGTCAGCTTTGGGGGAACATGACCTGACAGCCCCCGTGGTTGATTGCTCTAGACATATCCCTTTACCTATTTGCCTCCTTGCTGGACTTTAGCATTTCAGGGGCCAGAAAAGATGGGGGAGGTCAATGGGAGCCCAACACTACCATGTGTGAGCACTTCCTGCCCATGCAGCCTTCTCTAACCTTGCTTTCAAGGTGGTGTCACCCTACTACTACTACACCCTGCTCACGAAATCATCACTAGGCGTCCTGCAGGCTGGATCAGGATTTGGCCTGGATCTGTTGTCCAGGAAGGCAGAAAGAGGTGTGGGAAGAGGGGTAAAGGAAAAAGGTGACTGAGCCAGGGTTCCAGGCTCCTCACTCACGGGGCTGGAGCTGGGCGTCGTCAGGCTCGGAGGCCCTAGACGTGCGGCAGCGGTAGCCTTTCTTCTTGAGCACGTGGCAGATCATGAAGCCTACAAGGCCCATGAGGAAGAAGACCAGCACAAGCAGGAAGAGCATGTACAGCCCATGTTGGGGCGGCTCCAGGACAGGCTGTTGTTCCGACATGAGGCCCTGGGGGGCGAGCGCAGGCCAGGGCGCCTCCTGGATTTAGGGGGCTGCAGCAGGGGATGGGGAGGAGTACAAATGCAATCTTCAGGATCCCCATCAGGCACTCCGGCCCCAGCCCCAAGCCAACGAGGGAGCTGTCCGGGCCAAGGGTGCTGGTCGACCAACACCGACCAAGGCTGGAGGCCAGATGGCGGCTGCGTGAGCCCTCTGCCACTATTCTGGTTCCACTTCCATAACGCCCAGACTGGTAACTCTTCCAGCTCAGCCCGCGCTTCAGTCCCTCCCAAGGTCACTGCAGCACGGTATGGGACAAAATTCTCAGGTGGTGAGTGCAGAAATCTCGCCTGAGTCAGCGTCCCGCACATCCTCTAGGAAGCCAGGCCTTTCTGCAGCCCCCTCCTCTCCCTGGACTCCCAGATCCCTCCCCACCTTTTCGTTTCCTCCCACCTCGATCACCTGGCCCACCCGGTACCGGTGCTTTGGTTCCGGCTCCGGCTCCGGCTCCGATTCTGGCTCCAGGGGCGTCCTAGTCCGGCTCAGGGCCCCCGATGCCCTCCCGGTGCTCATCCCTTGATTCCTCTCCCTCTTCCCTTCGCCGCCCCACCGGCTCCCGGCTGTGGCTGCGGATACCGGTGCCGCGCTGGCGGGGGGAGGGAAGGATGGCGGGGGATGCGGGCTAGTTGGGAGACGCGGCAGGATCCGGATAACTGGCCCTGGGAGAGGGAGGAGATGGGAGCGCTTCGGCCGCCGCCCTGGATTCCCAGATCCCTCTCCTGTCCCCGGCCCGGGACTATGGGGCGGAGCAGGTGTGCGGGGAGGAGAGCGTGAGCCTTGCGCGCGTGTGAGCGCGAGTGAGAGGCGCGCGTGACTGCGCCGGCCCCCCAGGGGGGACGTGTGGCGCCGAGTCTGGGTCCGCTTGGGGGCAGGAGGTCAGGCGGAGGTGGCCTCCATTGGTCTATCCGGCAAGCCCGGCTTAGCTTCTGCCCTCGGGTACCCCGGACGAGCGGCTAGCCAGGAGTCTTCCCAGCACGCGGGGAAAGCTGGCTTTTTGCCCCTGAGAGGGGCGGCGTGGCCGGATCCCCGAGCTTCCTAGACGGGTGACTACCGCCTGCGCCCCCTTGGGGCAAGCGGCTGGACGAGATGGCTCAGCTCCCCGAGGTTTTGACCCCCCGCCTGGAAAGAAACGGCCCTCTCATCCCAGGGCTCGGGCCACCCTTCCCCCGCCAAAGCCCGGTCGTTCACGCCCCAGAAACTACAGAGGCCAAACGAGGCGAGGGGCGGGACTCCCGCAGGGGGCGTGGCCCGGGCGCGGTCTCGGAGGCGGGGCCTAAGCCTCGCTGTTCCGCAAAGGCAGGCTGCGTGCTTGCGCAGCACGCACGATTGGGGGTGGGGCAGGGGCTGTCGGCCGGCGGGCAGTGGAGGCGTGGGGCCTGGGCCTGCTGGCACCATGGCCAAGACTGTGGCCTATTTCTACGACCCCGACGTGGGCAACTTCCACTACGGTGAGGGAACAGGGTTGTGGGCGGGAGATCGGGAAAGAAAGGTTTCGAGGCAAGGGCTGCAACTCCAGGGGGCACTGACGAACTCTCTCCTCCCCACTCCCAGGAGCTGGACACCCTATGAAACCCCATCGCTTGGCGCTGACCCATAGTCTCGTCCTACACTATGGTCTCTATAAGAAGATGATCGTGAGTCCCTTCGTCCCTGCTGGGCTTTGGGGTTGGGACCGAGTTACCTAATCTGTCGGAGGGATAGGTAGGCTGGACTTAACACACCAAATGCAAGTGGTCTCTAGGGTGCTGGGCGCAAAGAGGAAGACACCAGGAGCGCTCCCTATATGCAGTGTTGGGGGTGGATTCCTCTTATTTAATGGGAATTACGTTTTCACCACTGGTCAGTTACATTTTGACCTTAAGCAGGCTAGCCTTTGGCCGACAGTTACGTTGGTGTGGGCCTGTGTCCCTTCCCTGCATTTAATTAAACATTCATCTTATGGTGCAGAAAGCCAAGGCCTCACACCTACTAGGCAAGCCTCTACCTCTGAGCTACACTCCTCCCTGCAATTTAGGGTGTGGGCGGTACTGAGGCCTCAGGGATGAGGAGGTTGGGTCACTGTATCTGATTGTGATACAAATCATCGCCTACCCCTTCTACTCTGTCACTTCTCTCTACCTTTGAGGAGCTAGAATTCCAGGGACAACTCTGCAGCCTTGTGTGTAAATGGGTACATGTGTGTGGAGAGCAGGAAATGGCTTGGGTATTCCCTTTTCAATCTAGAATCTCTACACAGTTCTGCTTAATCAATGCTCAATCTTCTGTTTCCCCTATATACACATGCTGTCTGTTCTTTGCTAGGCATTTATACCTGTGAAATGGGATGATAACAGATCCAACCCTTATGCACTGTTAGGGTAATTAGTCAACAGTATGAATGAATGCTCCATGCTTGTGTGTGCTGATTGGCTTTAGAAAAAACTGAGGTGATTCATGAATCTCTGAATCCCCGGAGATTGTTTGTATGGCCAGGTGTGCATTTTCCAGAAGAAATGCTTGCTGTTCTTCCCCAATTTTCAAAGAGGTGTGTGAAATCTCCCTACTCCAAGGATGACAGATTTTTGGTTTAACACTTTGAGTTTCAGTTAGAAGGTTATACGTCCTGTGTATTTGATTCCAAAATGAAGAACCCAGAAGAGAGAGGGCAGTATAGAGCCCAGGGGAGAAATAGAAATAGAAATAGGGGGAGAAATAGAAATGGGAGATCCAGAGAACAGGATGGGTACATTAGGGTTCAGAGTTCAGAAGGTAAAGAGGGTAGGTTGGAGGTGGGAAGAAGTGGTCTTTAGGGATCTTAGTAAGATCATCTGTGGAACCTTTCCTTATTTACCTTCATTCATAGAATAACAAGGATTAGGGGATGGGTGAATTGTTGTATGTGGTTTTGGACAATTTCTAGGACTAGCTTTAGTGATGGTGGCTCAGCCCTATTCATAGGGTTGGTCCTGCCTAATTCATCTTGTGTCTTCATTCTAAGGTCTTCAAGCCATATCAGGCCTCCCAGCATGACATGTGCCGCTTCCACTCCGAGGACTACATTGACTTCCTGCAGAGAGTCAGTCCCACCAATATGCAAGGCTTCACCAAGAGCCTTAATGCCTTCAACGTGGGCGATGACTGGTGAGGGAGGGGAAGATGGGACTTTTGATTTCAAGCACTTTGTTGCTGGATTTTTCAGTGAGGTTTACGGCAGCCTAGATGGGGAGCCTACATGTCAGAGAGTCATATTTATTAGTCGTTTGCTGTAGGCCAGGTCCTGTGCTAAAAGCAGGGATGCATTGCTAAAGAATAGCATAGTTTCATACTGTACCTCTGCTAAGTCCTCTTTCAGAGAGGGACATGATAGACTATGGGAGTGCACACTTGCTAGAATTATGGCTCTTTGATGAGACTTCCTAAAGGAAGGAGTGAAGATTGAACTGAGATTTTTAAAAAGCGGACAAAGTAAGTAGGTGAGAGGCAGTTGAAGGGTGAGAGGAGGGATGTAGTGAGCAGTAAGAACCACATGTGCTAAGCATCAGTGGTAGGAGAGAGTGACTCATCTGAGGAACAAACAAAAGGCCAAGTGTGGAATTAGAAGAAGAGAGTGATCTGATTGGAGGCTAAAGAGATAGCCGGAGCCTTTTAAAAGTAAACAACCCAGTTAGTAATCCGGGTTTCTCCTCCTAGAGTAGAGGCAAATCACTGAAGTGTCTTAAATAAACGGGGTGCTTTTGACATGACTAGGTTTACACTGTGCTTGTATTGCATGTAGAGGACTCAATGTTCAGTGCTGTGGGGAAGGAAGTAGACAATAAAGATCAGCCATGGTCTTTCCTTGTACTCCTGTATAATATGTCCATGAGAAGAATAACCATAATAGCCACCATATACTCAGTTGTATTTCAGTTATTTTTTTTGTTGTTGTTGTTACCAGGAATTGAACTCAGGACCTTGTACTTGCCAGGCAGATGCTTGTGCCACTGAGCTACATCCCCAGCCCTCAGTTGTGTTTATTGAAACTTTTTATTAGGGAAAATATCAGACATTTACAAAAGTAAAGTATATTGGTGGTCCTCCATATACTGTATCCGTCAGCCAGCTTTATCACACAGCAGATGGCCAGTATTACTTCTTCTGTAGCCCTCATTTTACATCATCATCCCAGATATCACATACTTTTATCCATAATTTTTGTTTTTTTGAGACAGTCTCACTGTGTCGTCTTGAACTCACTTTGTAGTCCAGGATGGCCTCAAGCGTGTGGTGATCTTCCTGCCGCAGCCTCCTGAATACTGGAATTATAGACGTGCACGACCATGGCTTTATCACTTCCCAGTTGTCTCATATATATATTTATACAGTTTAAATATTTAAATCAAGATCTAAGCAAAATCCACACACTTCAATTATTTGATGTCTCTTGAGACATTTTATCTGTGGCTTTTCACTCTGTCCCCTGAATTTATTTCTTGAAGAAACCAGCTTGTTGATCCTTTAGTTTCCTGCAGTGGCCCTCATTTATTGAGTGCTGACTACTAGGTAGTATGCTAAGGGTTGCTAGTACATCCCCTTAATTCTTAAACCAACCATGAGATGCAATAGTCCCTCGCCTAAGTAAATGGAGGTCTGTGCTGGTCAAAAGAGTTCATGTGGGCGGCACGAAGGCTGAGAAAGTTTTAAATTTAGATAATTTAGATAACTTACTTTGAGTCACAAAACTGGTCAGTGAAGTTGGTAGGGTTCAGATTTAGAGCCCTAGTTTGAATTTACTAATCTGTTTCCCTGAAAGATCTTACCACTGAAGTACCTAGGGCCCTGGGACAGAGGCCAGCTCCTTGGCTGGCATTGGGTACCTTCTCAGCCTCATCCCCATCCCTCAGGCACACAAGATACCTTTCTGGAATGCCCTTGGCACTCCAGCAACTTCTTTAAAACTTTCTCAGCCTTCGTGCCGCCCACATGAACTCTTTTGACCAGCACAGACCTCTATCCTGAGCACGGTGCTGTGCTCATGTGTCATTGAGTCACATGCTGTCTTGGGAGGTTGCTTGTTTTTTGTTAGTGTTTCTGCTGCTATTCCTGAATTCACTTTGTAGGTCTGGGAGTGCAGAGTCAGCACTGAGGCCACAGACAGAATCCTGAGGATGTTCTTTGCTGGCTTAAGGAAGACTCTGCCCCTGGCCATCTATACTATAGTGGTCCTGTCAAACTTAAACTGCAGTTGTGTTTAAGATTAAGTAGTAGTATTATCATTTGGCTCTGTAGGAAGTGAATTTACTTTGTGCGAATTTATCGTTGTGTTTCAGAAGAGAATCAAGCGTTTTCCTTCCTTTTTTCCTGTTAATTAATTTTGGTTTGTTTTAAAAGTAACCTAAAATTTGGGGCTGAGGATTTAGCTCAGCGGCACAGCGCCTGCCTGGTAAGCGCAAGGTCGTGAGTTCAATTCCTGGTACCGGGAAAAAAACCAAAAATAAATAAATAAATAAATAAATAAATAAATAAAAGTAACCTAAAATAAATAGTCAAACTGTGCTTCAAGGCTGTTACTGAAAAATAAAAGCAATCCCAGACCTGATCCTCCTGCCCATCAATCCTTCTCCCCAGTGGCAGCCATTTTCAGCTCTTTTCTTCTGATGCTTAAGATTTCATAATAATAAAATTAACTTACTACTACTATTAATCTGTAATATTTAGGTAATACCTACTATGCACTTGATACTATTTTAAATACTTTGCAGCCATTTGCTCATTTAATCTCAACAAGTCCTATGAAGCAGGATTTATTATTGTTGCCTTTTACAGATGGGGAATGCTTAGACATAGAAAAGTTAAACAGCTTGCGCAATTGTTTTAACCAAGGTAGTCTGGCCTCCGAATCTGGGCTCAAAATCATAATGCCTATTATGTTATTTCTTAGTGCTATTCCTTCATTTATCAGTTTTAGAAAACATCTATTAGGGTGTTGGTATGGGTTATTTTAGTCTTCTCATACCATCACTGGCTGGCTTCTCTTCCCATCCTGGCTTTACAATGTACTTGTAACACTTATTTTTTGGCATTTAAAAAAAAAACTTTTTTGAGATAGTGTCTTGCTGAGTTGCTCAGATGCAGCTCGAACTTGTCATCATCCTGCCTCAACCTCCCAGAGCGCTAGGATTATAGGCGTTTGCCACTACACCCTGCAGTTATATCATAATTTATAAATCAATCCATATTCTATGTTTACATTATTATAACTACAAAAGGATTCGTTTAGTGTAGAGCCAAATGCTATTATTTAATCTGTTTTCATGTATAACTTGTTTTTCTTGGAGCTGATAATTGCACTGTTTTTCATTTACTTAGAAAACTAAATATTCTTTCTAAACCTTTACAGTTTTCTCTTCTTATAGTCAAATATATTTTCTCAGAAACCTAAAAGTAGGGATTTTTTTGGTTTTTGTTTGGTGCTGGGGACCAAATGCAGGATCTCATAAGTGCTAGGCATACACAGTACCACTGAACTGAAGAAATTCAAGCTAGGGATTTTTTAAAAGCATTTCCTTTTTTTAAAAGTTGGGTTCATGAAGGTATAATTTACATACTGTAAATTTCACCTCTTTTTGGTGTCATGTAGTTGAGAGTTTGATGGAATGCATCAAGGTACAGAATATTTCCCTGACCACACAAAGGTCCTTCGTATACTTTTTTTTGTTTTTGTTTTTGTTTTTTGTTTTTTGTTTTTCTCTGGTACCAGGAACCGAACTCACGACCTTGCACTTGCCAGGCAGGCACTTTGCTGCTGAGCTGAATCCCCAGCCCCCTTCATATACTTTTGTAGTCAATACTATCTCTTCCCTGAGCTCCAGGGAACTACTGATCTGATGTCTGTCTTGATTTTTTTACCTTTGTTAGAATGTTATATAAATGGACTCATACGCTATAAAGTCTTTTGTGTCTGGTTTCAAGCCTGTCCTTTTTGTAGGGAATGAAGATGGTAATCATTATAGCTAAAATATGGCTCGCAGTGCCACACAGTGAGCTAAAGGCTCTCCGTGGGTTATCTCATTGCTGTTTTTCTTTCATAGGAATGCAGTTCTTAGCCAGGCATGTTGATGCATGCCTGTAATCCCAGCACTCAGGAGCTGAGGCAGGAGGACTACAAGAGTTTGAGGCCAGCCTGAACTGCATAGCAAGGGCCTGTATAAAAACATGTACACACAAAAAATGGAATGGAAGTCTTTCTTCAGTTTTTTTTCCAGTACCGGGAATCGAATTCACGACCTTGCACTTGCCAGGCAGGTGCTGTGCCTCTGAGCTAAATCTCCAGCCCGGAAGTCTTTCTTTAAAGTGTGTAACTATGAAGAATAATATTGAGCTGGGCATGGTGGTGCACACGTATAATCCCAGCATTTGGGAGGTTAAGGCAGGAGGATCACTGTGAGTTCAAGGCCAGTCTGGGCTACATTAGTAAGTTCAAGGCCAGCCTGGGCTACGCCAGCCTGGGCTACATAGTGAGACCCTGTCTCAAAAATAAATAAAAAAAAAAGAATAGTATTGAGTGTTGTGTTGAAGTGTGTTACACATAGAAGACTAAAGAAAAATGAAAGCCAGGTGTGGTGGTACACGCTTATAATCCCAGTACTCTTGGGAGACTGAGACAGGAAACTTGCCATGAGTTTGAGGCCAGCTGGGGTACATAGTGAGTTTGAGGCCAGCCTGAATCACATAGAGAGACCCTGTCTCAAAAAACTACCCCAAAAGAAAGAATAGAGCTCATATTTTGTCTCAGCTTAGTCCCTTTTTCCTCATATACTGAAGAACCTAGACGCTATTTGCTTCTCTCCTAGTGAGGGCACAGTCTCTTGACAAGAGTTAAATGCTGCTTTACTCCTCATTCCATGCTTTGCACAGGGCTTAGTACATGGTTTAGTCCAAAATGATTGTTGACTACATTTGCACAGGTGTTTAGAAGTGGGGCTCTAGAGAGGACTATTGGACAGGGGAGGCTTCAGGAGTTTGGGTGGGGAGGGAGGTGTTGGAAGGAGCTGGACAGAGGCAAGAGAGTTCCAATCTGCTATCTCTGCAGCCCCGTGTTTCCCGGTCTCTTTGAGTTCTGCTCCCGTTACACAGGTGCATCTCTACAAGGAGCAACCCAGCTAAACAACAAGGTGACATAGCCCCAAGTCCTTTTTCCCTTTTCCTGTGGGTCTCTGGAATCAGCGCCCTCACCCTGATGCTGGGCTCCCAGCTTTGGAGGGAGCAGTCGGAAGACTGGGATTGGCTGTTTTGTTTTTCAGATCTGTGATATTGCCATTAACTGGGCTGGTGGCCTGCACCATGCCAAGAAGTTTGAGGTGAGTGAGGAGATGATGGGGCAACAGTGGCTACACTAGGGTGGGTGGTCAGAATGACAGCGGGGGACAGGTGAGTGGAGGAATTGTTCCTCAAAACCACTGTTTCGCTGTAGGCCTCTGGCTTCTGCTATGTCAATGACATTGTGATTGGTATCCTGGAGCTTCTCAAGTAAGTAGCTCAGGAGCAGATGGGGTTCTTATGAGGCTTTTGACTGGGGAATTCCTTCAGACTTGGCTCTGGCCTTGACCCTGGCCCCACTCTTGTGTCTCCATCATCTCCCAGAGCCTGATGCTTTTCTTAGGCTGCCTCTTCCATTCTGCAGCACATTCCCTGCTGCCTGCTCGTATTTCTGCCGTCTGTGCACATCCCTCTCCTCTCCTTGCCTCCAGCCTCCAGGTTGGAGCCCCAGGGTTGCCCTTGGGAACTGGTGGTGTCAGGTTTCGGGTACCTTGGCCAGAAGCAGACACAGAGCCTGTGTTTGGGAGGAGTGGGCTGGGAAGGAGCGTTACACTTTACTTCAGACCCTGGCTTTGCCCTTACCCTAGGTACCATCCTCGGGTGCTCTACATTGATATCGACATCCACCATGGTGATGGGGTTCAGGAAGCCTTCTACCTCACTGACCGGGTCATGACGGTGTCCTTCCACAAATACGGAAATTACTTCTTTCCTGGCACAGGTATAGAAATGGGAATTATTGTCCCTTTCCCATCCCTCAGCTCTTTACCAGGATGGACTCCAGAAGGTTATTCTGGTCTCAACCTTCCTCACATGTACCTTCCTCACATAAGCCTTTCCCTCTATTTATAGGAATTACCTCTTTTTCTGCTACACTGTCGTCTCACCCTGCTTCTCTCAAAGTGCTCTCTGCTATCCATACTTTTTGTTTACTTTTGCCTGCTGTCTCCTTCCTCCGCATATCCACCCCTAGCAGACTGTTGGGAGCTCATTGTTGTAACCCCTATACCAGTACACTGTTTGGCTCAGGAGAGTTGCTCAGAAACAATCTGTGGAAGCTGAGCATGGTGGCACACGCCTGTAATCCCAGCCACTCAGGAGCCTGAGGCAGGAGGATTGTGAGCTAAAGACTGGCCTAGGCAGGGAAACTCTGTCTCAAAAAAAATCAAAATCAAACAACAACGAGAAAAGGGCTGGGGATATGGCTTAGTGGGGAGGCTGTATTTAATCTCTAGTAAAATATACACTCATTTGCTGAGCAAATGCAAGCTTTTCAAGAGACTTGTGTCTCCTCTAAGAGTCTGTGGCAGAGGTCCATAGATGGGGCAGCTGGGTTGTGGGTGCTTCCCACGCATGGCTACCACTGCCTGCTTTTCTATAGGTGACATGTACGAAGTTGGAGCAGAGAGTGGCCGATACTACTGTCTCAATGTCCCCTTGCGGGATGGCATTGATGATCAGAGTAAGTACTGACATCCTCTCCCTGCTCATTCTGTCCCTTCTTTCTGTCTTTGCATTAACCTCTGTGCCTGCTGTCATCTACTGTTGGGCCAGGTGCCCTTAAGGATGAATGGCCTTCAGAGGGACCATGACCCCCTGGAAATTGTATGCAACATATCATGTGGATGCGCATTTTTCTGGGAAGAGGGTCATTAACTTTCATCAGTCACTCATAGCAATCTGGGACCCAAGACTGCTCAGAACCAATGATTTGGTTCTTTGGGTTGCTCCTTTCCTGGGCTACATGCTCTCTCAACCCCCCTTTCCCTTTTGTTTCCTGTCTCCCCATCCCCTTGGGGTGTCAGGTACCCATCTTTGGCCCTCTCCCAGGTTACAAGCATCTTTTCCAACCAGTCATCAACCAGGTGGTGGACTTCTACCAACCCACATGCATTGTTCTTCAGGTAATCCTGTCAGTACTGTCTGAGGAGGGCTTGCCTGGGCTGGGGGAAGGCAGCAGGGAAGAGGAGCTTCTTTAGGTTGGGGGAAAGGGAACTGGAAGACATCTGTGATCTTCTGATCACTTACGTCACTGCAGCCGTCTGATGTTTTGCTTTTTGCAGTGTGGAGCTGACTCTCTGGGGTGTGATCGATTGGGCTGTTTCAACCTCAGCATCCGAGGACATGGGTGAGACTTTCCTCCTTTCCCCCCAGATTTTCAAGTGGCTTTGGGCCTCAGTAAATAAGAGTGGGGGGTAGTTGTGCAATGGGCCCCCTCTGTTATTGGGAACCAAAAATAGCTAAAATTATACATGAATTAGAGATATTATCTTGAACAGGATTCCTTAGAAGGTCATTCATTCAAAGTTTTCATTAAGCACCTAATATGTTCTAAGATTGTGGTAGGTAATAGGGGTGAAATGGGGAAGTACCTATAGAGTTTATAGTTTAGTGTAGAAAGCAGAAAAAAATAAGTAAGCAAGACATATAAGTAGATTCTTACAAACCCTGTGAAGGGAAAAAGTAGGAAGCAGAGACAGACAGGGTAACAGTGAGGATCTGCTTTAGAGAGCATGATTTGGAAAGGGTTTTTTAAGGAGGTAAAATGTGTGCTGAGACGCGGAAGCTAAGAAGAAGGGAGCGATGAGCCATTAAGAGGATCAAAGAGAACTGCTGAAAGGAGCCCAGGAAAGCTTCAGAGGCAGAAAGAGCTGATGTAATGAAAGAGATGAGATAAAATTAGTACGGCTGGAGCCATGAAGCAAGCTATAGGTATCTTAATGTGAGGTCCTAGAAATAGGCCGTGATAAGGTTATGTGGAGCAGTTAGAGCCTGGTAAGGAGTTTATGCTGTAAAGATGATGAGAACTGTTGGAAGGGAAGCAGAGAGGTGACATGATCGAATGTGGAAGTAACTCTGACCGCTGAGTGGAGAAAGGTTCGAGCAGGAGTGAGGGGATGGGATTGGTAGTGCTTGGTGTTGTTGAGGCAGGAGATCTGGTGCCCAGGCTAAGTGGAGAAGGTGATGGAGAGGAGTAGGGGATTTGAGTTCCTTCTGAAGCCCAGAACTGACACCCTGGCTGGTGTGTTGTGAAAGTAGATGAATAACACGGAGGATGCCAGGCAGAGTGTTGAGCAGCACAGAAGTGAGAGTGCTTAAAATTTTTATTGAGACACAAAATAGGAACGTGCACAAATGCATCCCACTGCCCAGATCAGGATATAGGACACCTGTTGTTCGTTCCCTTGTACTCCTTTTCAGGCAGTACCTAGAGGTGTACACCTGGGCTGCACCCACTCTTCTGGTTCCTTTTTACAGGGAATGCGTTGAATATGTCAAGAGCTTTAATATCCCTCTGCTGGTGCTTGGTGGTGGTGGCTATACTGTTCGAAATGTCGCCCGCTGCTGGTGAGTACCGTTCCTGACCTCCCGACCTCATTGTGCAGGTTGAGCTAGGGGCTCCCTGAAATATGGCCATGTGGGCCCTTCAGCCCCCTTAGTCCGCCTGTCCTCCTCTGCTGGTTGGTTTCAGGACGTATGAGACATCCTTGCTGGTGGAAGAGGCCATTAGTGAGGAGCTTCCCTATAGCGGTAAGGACCATTCTACGACACCCCAACCACAGGAAAGCTGTTCTCGCTATAACCTGGTTTGAAAGCAAACGGGGAATTTTATACTCCCAGAGCTCTGTAGATGAAACCCTTGGGGTCCTAGCCCAGAGAAGATTGGGCGCTGCTTACGTAGGGGTGCTAGATGGGGAGGGAAGAAACTGGAAAGTTGTGGAAGCCGCTTTTCTCAGTCCGAGCTTTACCTTTTGGCTAATTCCTTCTCCCCAAGAATACTTCGAGTATTTTGCCCCGGACTTCACGCTCCATCCAGACGTCAGCACCCGCATCGAGAATCAGAACTCACGCCAGGTCAGCAGCTCAGGGAAGCTGAGCACAAGGATGGGGAAGCTCGAGAGGTCCAGGAAGTGGATGGGAAGCAGGAAAAACAGAAGTTCTCATCTGTCACTGTCATTCTTACCAGCTAGGAGGCAGCACAGGTTAAAGCAGAGGCAGTCATGGTTTGTGGGGAGGGATAGTTATCAAATGGAGGATCTGAGCTAGAAACACTGCAGAGATTAAAACCAGGGTAGGTGGGTGGAAGACAGCAGGGTGGATGCCCTGAGAATCACTAGGAGCTACTCACTTTGTTCCTCGTCTATAACCAGTATCTGGACCAGATCCGCCAGACAATCTTTGAAAACCTGAAGATGCTGAACCATGCACCTAGCGTCCAGATTCACGATGTGCCTGCAGACCTCCTGACCTATGACAGGACTGATGAGGCTGATGCAGAGGAGAGGGGTCCTGAGGAGAACTACAGCAGGTCTGGGGCAGAGAGGGTGTCCACGTAGCTTGCTGGGAAGGGTTATAAAGGAGAAGGTGATCAGAAGGCAGTAGCTTTCTTGTCCCTGACTTACCTCCTATAAGCTGTTACGATTTCCCTCCTCCTTTTTTTTTTAGAAAGTAATACATATTTATTGGAAAAATTATAAGGAGCATCAAAATGTTAAATTTGCTTTCACAATCCCAGACCCAGTACACAGAAGTAAGTGCTATATATAGTTTGATTTGTATCTTTCCAAATAGACGTATTTCTATAGTTTACAAGTATACTTCTAATGCCAGGCCTATAATGCCAGCACTTGGGGAGGTGGGGCAGGAGGATCACTGTGAGTTAAGGCCAGCCTGGGCTACATGTACATATAAACATACACTCATTTGCAGATTTATTGTTTGTGTGGTTTTTAATATTTGTTAATACAATTAGGAGCATTATGTATTGTTTACAATTTATATCTTTTTTTTTTTTTCTGGTGCTGGGGATTGAATCGAGGGCCTTGTGTATGCAAGGCAAGAGTTCTACCACTGAGCCACATCCTCAGCCCTAAATCTGTCTTTTTTATTTTATTTATTTATTTATTTATTTGTCTTTTTGAGACAGGTCTCACTATGCAGTTCAGGCTGGTCTTGAACTCACTTTGTAGCCCAGGCTGGCCTCGAGCTCACAATGATCCTCTTGCCTCACCCTCCTGAGTGCTGGGATTACAAGTGTGCACCACCATGCCTGGCTGTCTGTCTTTTTTAATAACATTGTATCATTATACATACATACACATATACATCTGCTTCAGTATTTTACTGGCTGTACAATATTCTTGTGTGTGAATATAGCATAATTTAACCAGTTGCCACTGATGAACATTTACATTCTTTTTTTTTTTTTTTTGCTGTTATAGTAATAAGGAATGCAGCAGGAACCCTCTCATATACATCTTTGCATGTTTGTTAGAGTGGTTAAATTCCTAGAATTATTGCTATGCAGTATAGTTTTTTATATTTGCTGCCAAATTGCCTTCTAAAAAGTCTATAGAAGTTTATATTCTCACCAGAATTTTACTCAGGCCCTCCAGGTCTTAAGCTAGACAGGTCCTTGCCCACATATTGCTCTCTAGAGCTCTGATTTCTTTGCTCTGTTCCTTTTTTCAGATTTGAAAATTGTATTGTGGTTATGTTTTTTAAGAAAAAAGCCTATCTGTCTGACATACCACCCTGAAATATTTATAGAGGACTGAATTAGAGGAAAAATACTAGAATACAGTTTTTTAAAATCCCCAGTAAGCTTCTCTGAAAAATGAAGGGAATAGACAACAGAACCCAGAAGTGCAGAAACAGATGCACTTAGCTCGAGTCAGTTTCCTTATGTGCCTGAGGGATGACCCCAGCGGGTCACTTGCAGCACAGTCAGGCCTGCTGTGCTGCACTGATAGAGGCTGAAGTTGGCTCTGCTGCACATTCTGATGGGTTTCTCAGTCCCTTTCAAGAAGTGCTGCTGGGTGTTAAGTTCAAGCCTCCATATGGATAGGGCTTGCATGAGTTAGTTCCTCTGTATCTCTCCTCTGTACCCAACTCTACTGTTCTGACCCTTGAGACCTCTCCAGCTCTCCTCCTCCATGAATGTCCCCTTATCCCTGGTCTGGGTGAGAAACTATCTAAATATGTGCCCTCATGGATTCCTCTCTGAACACTCATCTCAACTTCTCTGGGTCTCTCAACTTGACTTCTGGCCAGGCATAGTGGCTCATGCCTCTAATCCCAGCGCTCAGAAGGCAGAGGCAGGAGAATGAGTTTGAGGCCAGCCCACACTACATAGTGCTACCCTCAACCAAAAGACAAAAACAAAAAGAATTGACTTCTGGCAAGTGATTTCTATCAGCTGATTTGGTTTGACAAAATCTAGTTTTCTTTTTGTCCAACTTTGCCTTTTTCATCTGAGTTCCAAGCTGGGTGTGGTCTTTACATTATGTCACACCCTTTCAGCAGCTAGTAGAAGCCTCAGGCCTCTTCCTGTTCCCAAGGCCTACCTTAGGGCAGACCACTGAGTTCCTGTTCTTCTTTGATGCCTGTAGCTCTGGCTTGTGTGTGACTTGCAGAATATTAACAAGAAGAGTTACCACTTTTGTGGGTTTGCTAAGCAGCAGACTTCATACTAAGTGCTTTATGTTACAATATGTGTATCAGGTCTTTATTCTGTTGCTATCAGTGCTAAGAAGTGGCTCTCATCCTTATATTACCAGGGGAAGAATCTGGTGCTCAGACAGGTTAAGTAACTTTCCTAGGGCTATACAGCTAGCTAGTTAAATATCAGGGTTGAGATTCAAACCTGAGTGTCTGGCTCCATACTCTTAACCCTCATGCGTGTAGAGGTAACTGACACACGGCTCACCAAATGGATTGGGCCTTACATGGCTCAGTTCCTCAATTTCTCTTGATAACTTTCTCAATTCTCTAAGAGGATAGTTCTTCCAAAAGAAAGAAACCAGTATTGAGTATTTTACTGGGCCCTGTGCCGCTTTCACATCAAGTTTATATGTCGAGCCTCTGCTTGAAACTTTCCCTTGCGCTTAGAAGAAAACCCAGGTTCCTGATTGTGACTTAAAAAGTCCCATGTGCTAAAGTAAGAAAAAAGAAAAAGTATCCTATGTGCTGGTCCTTACCTGATCCTTACTTACTATGTTCCTGATCTTATCTTTTCATTGTTGTTATTGTTGTTTGTTTTTGTTTTTTGAGAAGGGTCACATTATGTAGTTCAGACTGGCCTTGAACTCACTATGTAGTCCAGGCTGGTGCCACTCATGGGGATCCACCTGCCTCAGCCTCCCAAGGGCTGGGATTACAGGTGTGTACCATCGCACGTGACCCCTGATCTTATCTGTAACTACTCCTCCCTGCACACACTTCCAGCCATCCTGACCTCCTCACCTTACTGGAATACCTCCGTTTCCTTCCACATTGTGAGGCTTGGAACAGTCTTTGCCTGGCCAGCTTCCTCTCAAACCTGAAGTCTTCTGTTCTTGGAACAACCTTCCCTAATAATCCTGCCTGAAATTTACCCTACTCCTCCCGTCACTCTCAGTCATATCACTTTATTTCATTTTATTCATAACAGTCTTCACTATCTGAAGTTTTCATATTTATTTGCTTTGTTGAGTTTGGTCTCATTTGTTAGGTGAACTCTTTGAGGATAGACAGAAACCTTATCTGCTTGATTCTCTACTGTGTTGCTAAGGCTTCTGACAGTGTCTGGCACAGAATAATCTCTAAATGTATATTAAATATGCAAATGATGCCTTGCAATCAGTCTCCACCAACAGGAAGAGAGAAGTGGTTGCCTGATGGAGGAAGCCTGAGAAATGGCTCTGGAGTGGGTGCAGGGAGAACAGCAGAGCCTGGAGAGTGAGCTCCTGATCTCTCTCCCCTTGCTTTGCAGGCCAGAGGCACCCAATGAATTCTACGACGGAGACCATGACAATGACAAGGAAAGCGACGTGGAGATTTAAGAGCAGCTTGGGATGCTATGTCCCAAGGGATTCCTTTTCACCTGTTGGATGGGTGGAAGAGAAAAGGTGTGGCTCTCCCAGTCCTAGGCTGGTCACCCTTCAGGACTTTTACTAACTCTGGGGAAGGATTTGGAGACCACACATGGTTCTAGGACCACCTACCCCTTTTTCCTCCTCTCCCACCCCCTGATGATTATGCCTATTAGGGATGAGATGGGGAAAAGGATAGTTAGTGGGCAGTGGGCTCTAGAGGCCAGTCCCTGGCCCTTATGGCCCCATTCCTTCCCTGCTTCCCTCCAATCCAGAGACTTAGAGACGAAGGGGTAGACAGGACTGAGGTTGACTGATATCCTCCTCTCCTGGGTTCTCCTACTGCAGGTCTTGCTTCTAGGGCCTGTGAAGAGTGAGGGCTTGTGGAAGCTCTAGCTCCCTAACACCTTAACCCTAGCTGATGGGACATGCAGTTTTGAGTAGGGGAAGGATGTGAAGATGTCCTGTTCTAACTTTTGGCTTTATGTCCATTTACCACTGTTTTTATCCAATAAACCAAGTTGGTATTTTTTGTACCTTTCTGGGAATATTAATTCTTGCTAGCTGTGTATGTATGAAGCGGGGAGTATGAAGGGACAGGAATGACCATGCATATAATCAAAATGACAGTTAACGTTCACCTCTGATAGGCACTCTATATGTACTCTGTGTGGAAGGCAGCTACTCTCACCTTAACACCAACAATACCACATGGCCAGGACCTATATGGGTGATTTTACTCTATATAGGGAGTTAATGGAGCATTCTGGTTAAGAGTAGACAAACCTGGGCAGATTACTAGCTTTAGAGGGTGTGGAAGACAACTTCAGGTTTTTGAGCACGGTGTTGGTATGGAGATGCTAGCTGAGGAGGAAACACTGAGATAACAGGACATGGTAAGTGGTCGGTATAGTGCAGATGTAGAAGCTGCTCACTAACTGGCTCTGATGAACAGTGCAGGACGGTGGAGTCTGCAACAAGGAGCTTATAGTTAGTGCAGAGTGGCAGCTGTCACTGGTGATACAAGAAAGGAATAATAGGTGGGTCCCTTCATCCTTTCAGTCTTTCTCAGCACTTTAGTTTAAGAATGTAATTTTTGAACTGTTTTGGACAAACTGAGTTTCAAGTATGGGCTAGACAGCTCTATGCAAGTTTCCATCAGGCAACTGGGGGGTCTGGAGCACAAGAAAAGATGGAGGTCAGGCTTAGAAGCCAGCCAGTTTAGCAATCCCTGGTATGAACTAAGCTCCAGGAGACCCAGTGACAAGTCACTCGGCTCTCCAGGAATGTACACTTGAAATCTTTTGCCAGCTGTGGTCAAGAATCAGTCTATACTGTGAGGACCCATTCTGTGCCACTGCTTTCCACAGAGGTGACAGATGTAGCCAGGGGAATGGATGGAACTGCTGACAGCTGGTCATAGTTGGGGAGAACCCCATTCTTTTCAGGCATGTTTGGTTTATGCCAGTGGGGAGAATCTTGGTTAAACACAGGGATTGGTAGTCAGACTAATCTGAGTTTAAGTTCTGTATAAATTTTGTATCGGTGGGCCAGTCACTTGTACTCCCTGAGGTCCAAATTTCTTTCTTCTTTTTTTAGTTTGTAGAAATTTATTAAAATTGATGACATGTTTAATCTCCAGTAAGCATCCATTCAGCTGCCTGGAATAAAGACACTGCTGTTGGCCCTATTTCCAGATTAACTCCTACAGTACTTGGGGAACACAGATCCAAATTTATCTGTGTAATGGTGAGACTGAAAGTTATCACATGTATTGGGTGGATTCGGTGAGAAAAGAAATATACAGTGATCACATAGTGCCTGGTCTAGGCACCTGGCGACTATTACTACCGCTTTCGCAGTAACAAGTTTGTCCGTATTAGAAATGGAGGCACCCCGGGATTCAGAACTGGGCAGTGTTAACCCCAGAGCTAGTCTAGTTTAAAGCCTAGCACATCAACTTGATCAAGCTCTGTTCTTGGCACATAGCTTTGAAAATACGTGGTAGCTGCCCACTTATTTTTAATGTGCATGTTCCAAAGGTTTTGCAGACATTAAAGTTACTCCAGAATGCTCAGCATTAAATTTTCTGATTGATAACAGTCCGTCGTGCAGTTTTTGGTTTAGGTCATCATACCCGGCTCTGGGATGTGAGATGGTCTAGGCTTTACAGCCACGTGTGCGCAGCGCAGCAGCCAAGGAGCCTGAGAGCTCCAACCGCCAGGGGGCGGTGCTCCCCGTGTGGCCGGGAGAGCTGCACCGCCCACTCGCCACCCCCCCACGTGGGTCCGAATGGTTAAGTCCGCCGGGCAGGTAGCGCGCTTCCGCGGCCTCCCTCCACCCCCTCCCTTCCCCCCATTGGTAGGGGCTGCGGGTCCGGGCGGAAGTGGGGCAGGCGGGCGGGAGCGAGGCGTCGCCGTTGTATATTCATGAGGCGCGCGCAGCTCGGCATGCTAATGAGGCGGGGCGCGGCGGCCGGCTGAAGAGCTGCTGGGCGGCGGTGGCTGCTGGCGCGGAGGGGCCGGGCGGGAGGGTGTAGGCGCGGGGCCACTTGCCGGCGCGAACCTGGATATGGAGCCCTCCGGTGGGAGCCAGGGGCCCGGCCGCGGGACCCGGGACAAGAAGAAGGGCCGGAGCCCGGATGAGCTGCCTGCGACGGGCGGCGACGGCGGCAAATCCAAGAAATTTGTGAGTGTCCCTCCCACCCCGCTCCCTCAGCGCGGCCGGTAGCCACCCTCTGGGCTCCGGTGACCCTCGCAGGCGGCCCCGGGGACGCTCGCCAGGTTCTGGGGAGCCGCCCCCGCGCCTCCCCACCTGGTTTGCTGGGTCCTCGGCTCCGAAGCCCGGCATCCTCCCTCTCCGGACCTCGGGAAACCCCGAGTCCGCCCGGCTCTGCCCCGGCACCCTGGCGGTGTCCCTCGCGCCCCAGCTGCAGGCTGAGTCCCGCCGCCCCCGTGCCCCGCTGCCGCTCATCAGCCACACTTCCTTTCTTCTGCCTCTAGTACCCAAACACGCCTTCTCTTTTTGGTCGCCTGTGCTCTTCTGGATCCATTTTCTCTCCTCATCTTCACCCCATTTTTTGATATTCTCTCATTTCCTTCTCCTAAGGTTACTTCCTCATGGTTGATCTCTTTCACCTGCTAACTTTTCCTCCTGCCCCGTCCCCGTCGCCGTCCCCCTCCCGGCCCTCCGCCCGGTGTCACCTGATAATCCTTCCCCTCAGGAATGTTACCTGACTTGAGCCCTGCCAACCCTCCTCCCTGGGACGTTTGTCCTTGTGATTACGTGGAGGGGTTCCTGCCCAGGTCCTGTGGTCACTGGGCTATGACGATGACTGATTTCCTACTATTTCTCTATCCAGAGAACCTGTGTCTTTGCCCTGTTGCTTGTCACTTTTCAGGGGATTAGAATTCACTCATAATTATGCCCTTCTTGACCCAGGATGGTGATAAACCTCCCCTGTGGGGAGGAAGTTAGACTTAGTGGCAGAAGTTTATGAGTAATTGAGTTGCATTTTATACATTTCCCATGATAACCATCTGCCACTCCTCTTCTGCCTCCTTCTGTGTGCCAAGGTTGCTGACATGCCTTTTTCTCAGGTGTCAGTTACTTCTAAGTCCAAGGGAATACTGATATTCATGTAGCTCTATCATATTTTACTACCTTTTGCCCATATTAAATCTTTCTTCCTCTTCTCCCTAGGGAGTTATTTGCCTGTTTTACTGTAAGAACTTTTAAAGATATTGACCAGTGTTCAAGAGAGGGAAAGAGTTTGGTCTTACCATTTGCTAGTTGTTAACTAGTTATTTACTTAGTCTTCTCTCCCAGGTGCTTGTGTGACAACCTTAGTATCTCTTTCTAACAACCACAGGGCTTGTAACTTACCTACTGCTTTCTCTTGGTCGCATCCCCCAGTATTCTGACTGTACTCCACAAGTTCGGTAAGAAAACTCATAAAGGGATGGAAACAACAAGAAGGTGTTTCGTGACCTAGAGGGTTGGGATTCGGAGTATACTTCAGCAGAAATAAAATAGTGACTCATCTCTTCCCCCTATTTCTAGCAAGACCAGGTGCTCCTGGACTCCTTTCCAGTGACATACAGGCTGTCAGTAACTGCCTGTTTTTATCTGGTGAACACCTTTCTTTTCACAAATACAAGGTGACATCCCTTTCCTCTTTGATGACTAAAGCAACATTTTTCTGTATTTCTTTAGGGTAAGAATTGACCCTCTAGTTAGAGAGCTTTCCTTCTAAAACTTTTGTTCTGCAGGCTGTGTCCCTTCTGTTTGTGTATCTTTTGGGTTTTGTTTCCATGGGGACTGTTTGACCTTCCCCCGAATTCTAGTTATTCCTGCTGATTTGCAGCGACCTTCATGACTTGTTAATATTTTAAAAATCTTTAGTACCGTAGACTTTTATGCATACTTTTATTTTATTGTAACACTTAGGAGTTTCACAAATTTGTGAAATCTGTTTAAGTGTGTGGTGCTGTAAGGTGAGAAACTTGAGGGAACTCAAGTTTCTTTTCACCTGTTTTTTGGCATGTCCGTGTGCTCTTGTATATGCTGAATGGATTTGGCTCGGGGTTGTTCATATTTGCTTTAAAGAGGGTGGCAATGAAACAGGTTTCTTTTCTGAGGTGTTGTTGGTCTTAACCCTTACCCTGCTGAATTTTTAAACTAGGTATTACAGTAGTGAGAATTGCATTAACATCTTGGGAATTGGAAGGTTTCCAGGAAAGAAGTAGTGCTTAACCCCTAATTTCCCAAGTATAACCTACCTCAAGGCATCAGAGTATTTTCTTTGTCATTGCTCTTTTTATTACTCTGGAAATGAGAGATGAGGAGCACTGTAATCCACTTCTCTTTGTGTGTCTGTGTATGTATATGTGAGTGGGTGGAGTGGGTGAGATTGCTAGTGTGCTTTTGTTACCCATAGCTTAGTTTTTTGAACTGCAGGCTAAAACTGAACTCAAAGCTTTTTCGCCTACTCCACCTTTTCTTAAGTATGTGTCCTTCTGGAACTCCATTAAGAATGCATTTTATAGAACTGCACCTTTTGGACTAAGTGTACTCAAAGGTTGTTTGCACTTGAGGGGTTACAGCCCCTTTAGCTGCTGCTACATACCTTTCTAGCCTTATGCAAGTTCTTAGTACAGATCAACTGATAAGAATGCAGAGGTCCTAAATTGCCCAGATTGTTAGAGATAGTAACTGGAGTGGCTGAAGTGAGGCTGCCTGGTAATCCCCCTTGGTTCTTCATACGATTGTCTTTCCTGGATCATGAGTGTATTGCTTCTTCACCATTATTCCCATTCCTTTAGGATTCCCTTTAGGTGAAGGAAAATAAAAATTCTGACTATTTTTGATTTTTCAGCAGTGATGAATGTGGATATCAAATAGACTGGTTTTTGAAATATATGTAAGGGGATCAAGTACAGCCAAGTTGTTAGAAGGCTACAGAGTATCCCTGCATTTAGTAGGCTGCATGCCTTCTCATATTATTGAGAAATTGACACATCCCAGGAGAATATTGCTTC